CTGTGAGATCTTGTTGGTTCCAACACGTGTGTGTGTGTGTGTGTGTGTGTGTGTGTGTGTGTGTGTGTGTGTGTTTGTGTGTGTGTGTGTGTGTGTGTGTGTGTGTGTGTGTGTGTGCGTGTGTGTGATGCAGTTTGTGACAAGGTGAGTTGAAGAGTGACTGGGCATGTTTTTGGGACCTCATATTGTAAACCAGCACCAGACCATTTTACACCAGGGCAGGGTGTGAATGGAGGGTTCTGTTGCTGAACAGTGCGGTCTTTGAGTCCCTGATGAGGGACAGCCGACCTACCCACCCCTCCAGAGCTCCAGAGTAGGGGTTCAGTGGTGAAGACATCACCCAGGGGAGGGTGTCTCCCTCTGGGCCTCATGTGTTACTCTATCACCTTGCTTGCCTGGTGATGCTCATTGTAAATGTCAATTCCTAATGTTTTTTTAAACAATGATATGAAAAAAATACTATAAAAAGGTTGTGAAAAAAAGATTCTCATGAAATGAGTTGTTATTCATTAAATCTATCAAAAGTTATTGCACATTCTTTGTTGCAGATGCCAAATTTGTTTAATATATTTGAATTTGGATGTGTGTGTGTAAATAGTCCCTCATGATTTATTCTCGATTAATGTTAGGTCACGAACTTGTCCTCCGAACACATCTGGACTCAAATCCAGGTCCATTCTTTCAGCTTCATTGGCTTTAATGTCCACCATTGTTCTCCCTAGAGCCTGCTGGACAACATATACTATGACTGCATATCAGATACAGACAGATAGATACTTCTATCTGGAACAAAAGCCCGAGGTATAGAGGTATGAAAGGCCCGTAGAGAGCTGAATCAGTGTGGGTTATAAGCCCTTACTTAAACCATATGATTGTACTCTCTCTAGCCAATAAAGCCCAGACACCGTGACCCTCGGCACGAGAGGCCTGGCCACCATCCAACTATACGCCAAGCAGGCTTGGGCCGTCACCTTATCCATGGAACCAGGGCTGCTCTCCTTGTGACTGGTCTGCCTGTCTGTCTGTTCTGTCTGTCTGTTAGTTCCAGTCTGACTGTCTGTCCTGTCTGTCAGTCAGTCTTTCTATTTCTCTCTCTCTCTCTCTCTCTCTCGTTCTCTTTCTTTCTCTCTCTCTCTCTCTCTCTCTCTCTCTCTCTCTCTCTCTCCTCTCTCTCTCTCTCTCTCTCTCTCTCTCTCTCTCTCCTCTCTCTCTCTCTCTCTCTCTCTCTCTCTCTCTCTCTCTCTCTCTCTCTCTCTCCTCCCTCAGTCCAGTGACAGGGCTGGTAGACAGGTAGTCTGGGTCAGATCTGAACAGCAGCATGCCAAACCAGGCTGGTTAATAGGAAAAAGGCCTAGTGCTTTATGAAGTCTGTGGAGAGGGCTTTCAGCACCTATTCTTTGACTGCTGCACATGTATAAAAAACAGTCACACACATCCATGTGCGTACACACACAGATGCCAAAGCCACAGAGAAACGCATGCACACATGCCACACACACACACACACACACACACACTTCTTCCAATGTGCAGAGCAATACAAATGTAACAGGTTTTCAGAACAATGCTCACCTTATTCCTATGTTGAATGACAGGAACAGGAAATGAATAACACACAGGAGTCTTGCAAATGTGAACACATACAGGAACATTGAACACACGTATAGTTAGGCATGCACATACTCTTCATAACACTGAAGACACACACACACACTTACTCACATGCAACCTCAATCATCAAATCAAATCAAACTTTATTTATATAGCACATTTCTTACAACAAATGCATTTCAAGGCACTTAACATATCAAATAACAAAAGGTGAGGAAGATGTTTCTAAACGTTTCTATGCAAAAACATGACAGTCAAGACAGACATTATGTGTGTGTACAAACATAGAACACACAAAACCCACACCAACATGCACATATGAACAAATAAGTATGTTATCAGCAACACAAACTGAAACACACACAAACACACACACTCTATCTCTCTCTCACACACACACCCACACGCACACACACAAACACACACGTCACACACACATGCAAACGTACAATCACACACACACACACACACACACACACACACACACACACACACACACACACACACACACACACACACACACACACACTGCAAACTATTTTCTTCCTCTGGTTCTGAACAGAGTCTATTTCCCTCTCTTGTTAATGGGGTGGTGTAATCCGGTGTTGTTGTTATTGCAACATTTGTGTTATTTTCTGCATTCATTTCTGGGCTCTCATTAGGCTAGCACCACCAGGAAGCCTCTTACAGACCACTGGTGTTCCAGTACCTCTAACACACCACTGGTGTTCCAGTACCTCTAACAGACCACTGGTGTTCCAGTACCACTAACAGACCACTGGTGTTCCAGTACCACTAACAGACCACTGGTGTTCCAGTACCTCTAACAGACCACTGATGTTCCAGTACCTCTAACAGACCACTGGTGTTCCAGTACCACTAACAGACCACTGGTGTTCCAGTACCACTAACAGACCACTGGTGTTCCAGTACCTCTAACAGACCACTGATGTTCCAGTACCTCTAACAGACCACTGGTGTTCCAGTACCTCTAACAGACCACTGGTGTTCCAGCACCACTAACAGACCACTGGTGTTCCAGTACCACTAACAGACCACTGGCTTTCCAGTACCTCTAACAGACCACTGGTGTTCCAGTACCACTAACAGACCACTGGTGTTCCAGTACCACTAACAGACCACTGGTGTTCCAGTACCACTAACAGACCACTGGTGTTCCAGTACCTCTAACAGACCACTGGTGTTCCAGTACCTCTAACAGACCACTGGTGTTCCAGTACCACTAACAGACCACTGGTGTTCCAGTACCTCTAACAGACCACTGGTGTTCCAGTACCACTAACAGACCACTGGTGTTCCAGTACCTCTAACAGACCACTGGTGTTCCAGTACCTCTAACAGACCACTGGTGTTCCAGTACCTCTAACAGACCACTGGTGTTCCAGTACCTCTAACAGACCACTGGTGTTCCAGTACCACTAACAGACCACTGGTGTTCCAGTACCACTAACAGACCACTGGTGTTCCAGTACCTCTAACAGACCACTGGTGTTCCAGTACCACTAACAGACCACTGGTGTTCCAGTACCTCTAACAGACCACTGGTGTTCCAGTACCTCTAACAGACCACTGGTGTTCCAGTACCACTAACAGACCACTGGTGTTCCAGTACCACTAACAGACCACTGGTGTTCCAGTACCACTAACAGACCACTGGTGTTCCAGTACCACTTCAGTTTTCACTTCCTTACAGTAACTTGACATTTGGAGCAACTTCAAAATTTCACATGGACAAACGTCGGCATCTGAAGTTAAATTGGCCAAACCAATTTGTGTGTGTGTGTGTGTGTGTGTGTGCGCGCTTTGGGCAGGAAAAAAAACAAAAAACTGACATGAGATCAATTGACACAATCCCTCAGTAATCACATCCACATAACCAGCTTTGCAGCTTTAACAGCTCCATAATAGGGACCTCCTTTCATTTGTGAAGGGAGTTACTGTGATACAGGGCAACATGATTGCTTATGGACTCTCACTAACGCACAATGCCCTGGGATAGAGCCCATACACACACACGCACAAACACGTACACGCACACACACACCTACACACACAAAAAAACGATTGAGGCCTCTATGTCTCCAGTCACACATGTCTCCCACATTCAGGATTGTTCAAATCCCCAGCTCACCCGTTATATATATATATATTTTTTTTTATATATCCCAGTATCCCTCCATTCTCCAGTCAGACAGCTTGAGGTGTTTTATGTGGAAAGTCATATTCACAGATCTAGGGTGTGTCCCAAATGGCACCCTATTCCCAACATAGCACACTACTTTTATGGGCTCTGGTCAAAGGTAGTGTGCTTTGTAGGGAATAGGGTGCCATTTGGGATGCAGTATACTAACAGATACTAACAGTCTACTCTTCAATATGATGATTCACCGAGCTACACTGTCTTCCCTATCTTGCTTGAGCTAAGTAGGTTTCTATGGTGTTGAGGCTCGCAGACAATCATGTGGAGTCAACGTTAGGCTTATGGTACCTTGACACACACACAACTCCCCCCCTCACCCCACCCCATCCCCCCACACACAAACACTAACCCCACCCCTAATCACACACACACACATGCTCACACACGCGGTGGGTCTGAGCGGTGTGTCGGTCCATGCTTGGCAGTTGTGAGCCGTGATATCCTGTCCAGTTCAGCTGGACTCCAGCCTCCAGGCATCCTTGTGCTCTCTCTCTCTCTCTCTCTCTCTCTCTCTCTCTCTCTCTCTCTCTCTCTCTCTCTCTCTCTCTCTCTCTCTCTCTCTCTCTCAGGGAAGCCTGGTTTGATTTGAGTCCAGGGCAATCCAGGACTCTCTCACATTCCTGTGTTTCAATAGGAATTATAATATTTGGTATTGCCTGGGAGATTCATTTAAATGTATGCTTACATATGTGCGTTTGGAGGCAGAATCCTGGAATAATGAAGTCTTAGGTGAGGTACCGTACATTCGCCCCGAGAGACAACTGGTGTAAAATTAAACATGACACTTTTCTCTCTTACTCTCTCTCTCTCTCTCTCTCTCTCTCTCTCTCTCTCTCTCTCTCTCTCTCACTCTCTCTCTGTCTCTCTCTCACTTGCTTTTCTCTCTCTCTCTCTTTCTCTCTTGGAAAGTTCTGCCTGCGTTACATAAACTCCTAGATCAGCATAGAGGTCAGAGGAGAGGGAGAGGAGAGAAAGAGAGAGAGAGAAAGAGAGGATAAAATAAAGAGAGCAATAAAGGGATAAGAGGGGTAAAGATAGAATGGGATTAAACCTGTATCATCATCATCATCATCATCATGAAAAGGAAAGCTATCTTCTTTTCATACAGTCCTATTGAGAGAAGAAGAACAAAAGATCAGGGGGAAATTGGAACCAGAGGGACGGCAGCTTAGCAGTGAGCATCCAAAAAGCTGGAGAGAAAGAGGGGAAAATATAAACAATGTATCAGATGGGTTGGGCTCTGCAGCTCTAGCCAAACCATGGCTGTACCGGAGCTCACTCCTTATCTTACCTCTGACGCATACTAGATACAGTTAGACATTGCATGATAGTTTGTGATACTTTCTCATATAAGAAGCACAGTTTCAGTATTCTTTATTCTAACATATGGACACAAAAAGGAAGCTTCTCAAATGGCACCATATGATATAATTACATATTTGAACATATTAAAAATGTGTAATTTAATAGGATCTCTGTGCACTCTATTCTCTATAGGAAAAAGGATGCCATTTTGGAAGCACACAAAATCCCCTTCAAACACTGAACACTATTGAGTTCTTCATAATGGTGTGACCTGACCAGAACAAGCTCAGGGCCCACATTAGGTCCACCATGTATTTTTGATGGAAAAAAGCAGACAATGATGAACGCATGTTTGAGTTAATCCGTATTCATGCATCTCAGTGTTGGCCACAGCCTGATACAGACCCACTCCAAACCCACAGTGTTGGCCTCAATCATGTTACCATCTGTCATTTGCCCAAACTGCTGTTTGGCCAGTCGGTTTCTGCCTATGTACTCTAATAGTCAACTCAGACGATGACATCAGACATGCCTCTTCCCTCCACTTCCCTGCCAACTGCCTGAGATTCCGGGTCTGGGATTCCTTACGGAAACAAGCTGTTCCCTGTCTTAGCGCATCCTCTCCTTCCCTGAAACACACAGAGCGTCGTCTGGAATACTGTCCATACGCCTGTCATCTCCCACCTCTCTCCACTGTCCAGACACGAGACATGCTCCGGAAAAGTCAGGAAAACCAGGGATGCTTCAAGCCTACCTCACTTGAGGCATCTGCAGCATTCCCAGAGCGTATCTGATATTCCCAGTGTTCCGATATCCCCAAAGGTGGGTCTCTCATTTTCTCTTTCATTTGACTCACCTCACTCTCTTTGGCTTGAAAGAATGAGAAACAGAGGCAGAGATGAGGAGATAAATCAAGAGTCATGGAGAAGAGAGAAAAGAAACGAAGGAAAGACAGACAAAAAGACAGTGAGATAGACAGGGTGGGATAGATATGGAATAGAGGGATGGAGAGGTGGTGGAGGAAGGATGGGGTATTCAATAATATAGGCCAGCTCAGGGACATCCATGTGCTAGCTAGGCCTTTTCTGTCACAGCATGCTGTTCTCCATGTGTTTCCCATAAAGCCCATAAAGCCAGTGTTTAGCCAGTTTAAAGCAGATCGGCGTGCATCGTCTCAGGTCTGCAACATTTTCTACTTGTTTGCCGGAGCTGTCCTAGTAAAGTTTCTTGAAAAATAGAGTGCCACGTGAAGAATTAAGTGTGTAACACATGAACAAATTGTGTGTGTGGGATATGAATGATGGGGAGACTCTCTCTCGCTCCTGTGTTTGTTTCTGTGTGCTGTTTAAGAACCATGAGACATACAGACATGGAGACAGAGAGACAGAGAGACATACAGACAGAGAGACAGAGAGACATACAGACAGAGAGACAGAGAGACATACAGACATACAGACAGAGAGACAGAGAGACAGAGAGAGAGAGAGAGACATACAGACAGAGAGACAGAGAGAGAGAGAGAGAGACATACAGACAGAGAGACAGAGAGAGAGAGAGAGAGAGAGAGAGAGAGAGAGGAGAGAGAGAGAGAGATACAGACATACAGTTAGAGAGACATACAGACAGAGAGACAGAGAGACATACAGACAGAGACAGAGAGACATACAGACAGAGAGACATACAGACAGAGAGACAGAGCGATATACAGACAGAGAGACAGAGAGAGAGAGAGAGAGAGAGAGAGACAGAGACAGAGACAGAGACAGAGACAGAGACAGAGACAGAGACAGACAGAGAGATAGAGAGAGAGAGAGAGAGAGAGAGAGAGGGGGGGGGGGGGGGGGGGGTGGTTGGGGGAAAGAGAGAGAGGGGGAAAGAGAGAGAGGGGGACAGAGAGAGAGAAAGAGAGATACTAACTCTTAACCCAGATACACAGTTCTTACCGTGAGCTTCACAGACCTAACGACCAAAGATAAAGCAGTGTAACACATACGATTGTTGCTCGAGTCAGGGAGCGAGGACAGGAGTGTGTGTGTGCGCTCCTGTGTCCTGAGTGCATCTGTGCACACGCTCCTGTGTCCTGCATGTGTGTGCGTGCTTGCTCCTGTGTCTTGCGTGTGTGTGAGTGTGCGCTCTCCTGTGCCGTGTGTGTGTGTGTGTGTGTGTGTGTGTGTGTGTGTGTGTGTGTGTGTGTGTGTGTGTGTGTGTGTGCATGCTCCTAAATTCCTGGGAGCATGTGGAAGAGTGGTACAGGTTTTCTCACAGCAACAGTCCACAGTATCCCAGCTGTATATCCCCCTGGTACACGGCTCTAATTCTGCCAAATGATTTACATGGAACGTCTGCACAAAACCATTTCCTCCTTGCTCGCCATCCAACATACACATTATAGGCCTAAAGAATGTACATATATGTGGGCGTAAACTGGAGCGAGAGCTCTTCAGAGGACGAGGGGCTTACTTCACGCTGACAGTCCTCACAGTGTGTCCACTTTCCACTGTTTATCCTCTCAAACGTCTCCGATTCCAGGTGGGAAAGTGAATATAGGATTTATTTAGTTAGTAATGAAGGACCGCCCCTTCCCTGGAGGTTGGAAAGCATGCACATCTCATACATGCATTGATTGTATCAAACCTGTTTTGAACTATCTAGGGTATATTGGAATATTCTAGAAGAAATATTGGTCTGTCTGTCTGTCTATGGGGAGGTTGTTTTACTTTTATCATACATTTAATTTGATAGTCATTATGTGCAGAGTAGCCTACTCACCTACATATGCAAACCTCATCCCTATCTTTCAATGACAAAAATACCTGAATCAGAGCTATAGGTAAAAGCTGCATTTAGGCAAAGATCTAGGATCATCTAACCCACCTCAAATCATAAGCTTTACCATTAAAGGGGTTAACAGAAATTGATCTTAGATATACACTACCGTTCAAAATTTGGGGTTCACTTAGAAATGTCCTTGTTTTTGAAAGAAAAGCATTTTTTTTGTCCGTTAAAATAACATCAAATTGATCAGAAATACAGTGTAGACATTGTTAATGTTGTAAATGGCTATTGTAGCTGGAAACGGCTGATTTTTAATGGAATATCTACATAGGTTTACAGAGGCCCATTATCAGCAACCATCAGGCACGTTGTGTTTGCTAATCCAAGTTTATCATTTTAAAAGGCTAATTGATCATCAGAAAACCCTTTTGCAATTATGTTAGCACAGCTGAAAACTGTTGTGCTGATTAAAGAAGCAATAAAACTGGCCTTCTTGAGACTAGTTGAGTATCTGGAGCATCAGCAATTGTGGGTTCGATTACAAGCTCAAAATGGCCAGAAACAAATAACTTTCTTCTGAAACTCGTCAGTCTATTCTTATTCTGAGAAATGAAGGCTATTCCATGCGAGAAATTGTCAAGAAACTGAAGATCTCTTACAATGCTGTGTACTACTCCCTTCACAGAACAGCGCAAACTGTCTCTAACCAGAATAGAAAGAGGAGTGGGAGGCCCCGGTGCACAACTGAGCAAGAGGACAAATACATGAGTGTCTAGTTTGAGAAACAGGCGCCTCACATGTCCTCAACTGGCAGCTTCATTAAATAGTAACCGCAAAACACCAGTCTCAACGTCAACAGTGAAGAGGTGACTCCGGGATGCTGACCTTCTAGGCAGAGTTGCAAAGAAAAGGCCATATCTCAGACTGACCATTAAAAATCCAATATTAAGATGGGCAGTCTGAGATATGGCTTTTTCTTTGCAACTCTGCCTGGAAGGTCAGCATCCAGGAGTCCACTCTTCACTGTTGACATTTTAAGCCTGTAATCAAACCCACAATTGCTGATGCTCCAGATACTCAACTAGTCTCAAGAAGGACAGTTTTATTGCTTCTTTAATCAGCACAACAGTTTTCAGCTGTGCTAACATTATTGCAAAAGGGTTTTCTAATGATCAATTAGCCTTTTAAAATGATAAACTTGGATTAGCAAACACAACGTGCCATTGGAACACAGGACTGATGGTTGCTGATAATGGGCCTCTGTACACCTATGTATATATTCCATTAAAAATCAGCCGTTTCCAGCTACAATAGCCATTTACAACATTAACAATGTCTACACTGTATTTCTGATCAATTGGATGTTATTTTAATGGACAAAAAAAATGCTTTTCTTTCGAAAACAAGGACATTTCTAAGTGACCCCAAACTTTTGAACGGTAGTGTATGTCTAAGTGGAAACTTAATTGTACTCTCAAATGAGAGTGACCTGCAGAGGAAAATGTTTTTGGAGTGAGTGTTGGAGTGATGGGGAATGCAATGCCCACAGCAGCCTCTGGTGGTTACAGTCAGTACGAAAACCATGGAACAATACGTTTGTGTGTATGGCCAGCTCTGTGTGCTCTGCTGTGATTGACGAGGTGAGCGGTTTGCCTCAACAAGCAGTTGTGTTGGTGACTCCTGGATGACGTCAGTTATGGGCAGAATGGACCTGTCTTTAATGACAACTTGCCCTGCTAGCCCCGTCCACTCACTCTTAAACTCAAACACACTCCCCTGTTCCAGACACCCTGTTAAAAAGTGGCTGTTCCTAAAACATGGCTGTCAGACACACACACACACACGTCCTAATTGTTTCCATGAAGCCTGAACAAACATCTGAGGCATTAGGTCTGTGTAATTGTTGTTTGACTGGACAAAGCTGCTCCAGAGGAATAACTGTCTCACAGTGCACTGGGGTTTACCTGACGACCGGGCACTGGGGAAGGTTGTGACATTTCATTACATGTGTGTGAAGAGACCTGCAACAGGTTAACAAGGAACACAGGTCCTACTATGTACCGTCATGGACACACATCCAACATGTGTTTTCTACCAGTTCTAGCTGAATTATTATAATAGTGATACCACAGCACAGATATGTCAATCTGTTTAGTTTATTAATGACACATCAGCCTACTTAAATTAATATTGCCATACATGTGGAAGTATTTTAGATGACACAACAAATAAAGATCTTATGGACAGACATTAACAGAATGTCTATGATCTTGCATTTTCTTAAAAAGAGAGACAAAATGTAAAAACAAAACTTTCCATATCAAAATCTGGTCCACTGTGTACAACACAATTGAGACAACCAACTTTGACTTGGTAGTGAAACCATCACATTCCATTCAGTGATACACATTTACGTGAAATTGATTAAATTAACAGAATTTAAAATCAATCAAAAACAAAACATTTCCATTTGTAACGGGCCAGGAGCTTTTCCTGACTACTTTCACTAGACAAAGCCTAAACTATATCTAAGGGACAACGTTTTCTCGGAAATTAACATATGTGATGATGAAGTGTCCAAGGGGTTCCTCATCCCAGGAGCAGAGGTTAAAGGGGAAAGGTCAGGGGTCATATGAGCAGACGTTAAAGTTCAAGGATCATAGCTCAGCAGAAGTCCTTCCATAAACCAAACGGTGCATCTCAAAGGCCAAGTCCTCTCCTTCCCTGCGTTTAACTCCCACCTATCTGTCCTTTGTCTTTACACCAGTGCAGATGAAGAGAAGGAGACAAGGAGAGGAAGATAGAATACATTTGAGACACGTCCAAGGACTTCATTTCTTGGTCTCCATTCGTTCAGTGAAGGGTTTCCCAATACCTCTTTCTCTCCCTCTCTCTCTGTACCCCCCGAGCGACATCAGATTCAGGATGGATGGAGAGCAAGAGGAGAGGAGAGGTGTAAGGAGGTGGTTTCTCTCTCTCTCTCTCTCTGTGTTTCTCTCACTCATCCCCGGCCGGTAGGTTCTCTTCGATCCTCTTGATGAACTTCATGCGGATCTCTGTGATATTGTCTCCTCTCAGGGTGTCCTGAGCAAACTTCACATCCACTGCCATCTGCACCTTGGGGAGAGAGAAGGAGATATTAGAAATTAAAAGGGAAATAAAGTACTTTTCTCATGACACATGAACATAACATAAATCACACAAATATAATTTTCATACTACCGTGCTGGCTCTGATATGTTTCTTTTCACATGGTCCTTTTCAGCATGGTTCCAACAACTATGGTGAATATGTAACCAGGCCAGCACAGTATAGCTTGGTTAGGCTCGGCTCAGTTTGTCTCAGTAGTGTGAAAAGGCCTAAAGAAGCTCCTCGGAGTACCCCACATAGCAGGTTGGAGTACACACCATATACATTTAACATTTACATTTAAGTCATTTAGCAGACGCTCTTATCCAGAGCGACTTACAGTTAGTGAATACATATTTTTTTATACTGGCCCCCCGTGGGAATCGAACCCACAACCCTGGCGTTGCAAACACCATGCTCTATCAACTGAGCTACATCCCTGCCGGCCATTCCCTCCCCTACCCTGGACGACGCTGGGCCAATTGTGCGCCGCCCATGAGTCTCCCGGTCGCACACACACGCACCCTCCTTACCATCTCCAGAGCTCCTCGGAGTACCCCACACAGCAGGTTGGAGTAGACCAAGGAGCTGTGGTTGTCAGGCAGCTCTACAAAGTCCACCAGGGGGTTACTCTCCAGGATGAGGGAGAACTCGTCTCCCGCCGGGCTCCAGTTGGTCACACTGGGGGTGATGCCCAGGTACATCTTAAATGCCACCTAGTGGACAACACATGCAATCACACAATGCTGTTAATGTTACAATGGCGTTACAAGTACTGTATTCATAATAGAACAGACACCATCACTCTCATACAAGATGAATCACTGAATTACATTTTACATTTTAGTCATTTAGCAGACACTCTTATCCAGAGCGACTTACAGTTAGTGAATACATTTTGATTATCTCGGCAAGTCTGAACGGCAGTTGAGGCTACCTGTTCATCATCTAGACCAATATTCCATACTACTGCCTTCCATATAACTGAACCATAGGCCTACAATGCAAGGTTACACCTGTGAAACGACTTAGCAGCACTGTTAGAACTACTGTATAACATAACAAGAAGCAGTGGGGAACATGAGCCCAGACACACACACACGGGGGCTGGGGCTAGTTGGCTTTGCGGTGACATAGCTGGGATGCTTCCCTACCTGCGTGAGTGCGAGAAATGAAAAGCAGTAGAGAGGAGCTATGAAAGCTCAGAAACTATGCAGACCACTGCAGGTTGGAGTTCAAATTCCAGTCGCCGGCTCTCTTGCTCTCTAACTCACAACCTCTTTCTCTCTCTCCCTCATCTCAATAGCTCTCACTCTTTATCGTTCCCTGTCCTTTCTCTCTCCATCTTGCTCTTCCCCCTCTCCTCTCTCCTTTCTGGGAGGGTTCCAAGGACATGCTCTGATTGGCTCGGGGACGTTCCCATTACCTTAGCAATGACATCGGCCGTTTCTCTGAAATCCTGACACCTCCCAACGCTGGAGCGTGCCAAGAAGTCCTCGATGAGACGCACTCCGATATTGTATCCCCTGGAAAAAAACAAAAGAGGGGGGAAAGAGTGAGCAAAGGAAAGAAGAACGGGTGCTAAATGCTATACCACTTCAGAGCAGAGATTCTACATCTCCTGTAAAGACTTCAGACATGAACACTGTATAGAGAGTGATAGATAAGCATCTGGACCCCCCCCTAAAGGAGTCAGATGATATCATCACCCGAATTAACCGTATTTGGGGCAGACCATGCTACAGTAGGTATGTTAGTTAAGCCAAGAGGAAGAATACCTTCACAGGCCATATCACACAAGGCCAATCTTTCAGCCTTAAAAGATTACTTTGCCATTTTATTACTTTGGAAAAGTTAACTACACCTTTAAATGTTTCTAAGCCAGCGAGACAGCATTGATCTTTACTAGACAGCACCAAATACCAAATGATTCACAATGGGCACACCACCCCCTTTTCCCCTTTCAAATTCAGAGAATTCATTGGACAGTGTGTCTTCTGTTTTCTGTTCCTCAAAAGAGGAGGGGATGGAGCCAGTGAATTCCAGGAGACGTTTAGAAAGTGAAGAAGACTCCTAACATGGATGTGTGAAAGGTGATTACTTCCCTGGTTATAGACCACCTGTTTCATCACAGACACACAGATTATATCACTGGTCTACTGGTGACTGGGGTCAAGTTTAAGAGGGATGGAGAATTTGCCAGTGTGGTGTAGGTTGATGGGAAACATCAGAGAGGCCGAAAGCGGTAGCTCCACTTTGTCCATTTTCAGAGTAAATGATAAACTGAAAATGAAATGCAGAGGAGTGGCACATTTTACAGGTTCAGAGCAAACAGTGCACTTCACACACACACGACTCAATTATTATCCTTGTTTCCTTTCCTTGATCACTTATAAGTGAGAGGACTAAGCAGATAGTTTGTTGAGAAGAAGAGACTCACATCTTATCCAGCTGTTTGTTGACCTCCTCGTCGTTCTCATAGTCCTTACACAGCTGGGTTACCAGGGCCCCGTATGTCAGCGTGAACAGCTCTGCGTTCTATAAGATGGTAAGGAGGGAGTGTGTGTGTGTGTGTGTGTGTGTGGGAGACAGGAAACGGGAGAGAAAAGAAACGTAGCTGTCAGCACCCCCTGGTGTAAAAACGTCAAAACAACAGATATTTCATTGATTCAAAGACAGTGAATCATTTATTGTATTGCAAATGCAGTACTTTAATAAATTAATTCAGCCTGACTAAATTATGTAGACTTGGTTCAGGTACATGGGTCAGGTACCTATGATAAAGACAAGTATCAATATCATACGGCATATTATGACTTGCCAATTGCCATCCATGCCAGGGTAACAGTTAAGTTAACGTTAATATGCTTAGCAAATGCAAAAGGTAGCTACGCCTGAATACTATTTTTTTTAACACTGACTGTCATTTTGGTAGCTAGTTAGCTGTAAACAACTTGCAGTGACTGAGCATGTCTTCCATGGCGCTAGCTAGCTAATGAAATGCTAACTTGCTAGCTTCCTGTATTTGTCATTCATTGATTTCTCACTTAATACCTACATTGCACTATAGTTATGCTAATGTGTCCTTAATACTTTATCAAAACACGCATGATCAGATCAGCATATTAAGCTGGTTTTTGGAGGTTAATAAAAGGCAGATTGTCGTCTAAATTAGCCACCTAGCGTTAGCTTGTTTACTAACTACCTAGCACTAATTGAGTAGCCCGAATGGTAAGCAGATCGCGACTCCTTACCATCTTTTTGCTGTCTGTGGTTCGGTTGGATTGCCTTGACATAGTGTATTGGGTTACAGGCTTATACAGATGACTAGGTAGTTATCCTTTATTTATTTGTTTCTTTGAAAGTGTATCAGCTGTCAAACACCCAACTTCCTGAACACAAGTTGGAACCGGAACCAGCGGAGGATTGTGGGAAGTAGCAGCACCATTATCATCATCTGGAATACATTTTCTGCCTCTGGTGAAAAACAAAGTATCTAGCAAAACACAACGAAATCTCGAATTTCATACCTCTCAAAATGTCTAAACTGGCATTGTTCAATGTGTATATTACTGAACGGCTAACAGCGGCGGCTGTGGAGATAGGCGGGGTGGTAGAGAGAACAATAACAGAATACCAGGAAGAAATCTCTCGTTCAAAGGAGGAGAATGAACGTCTTCGACGTCTGCTGGATTTCAAACAGCATAGAACAGGTTTGTGTCGATTTACATCAAACGAATCAGGTAGCTAGCTAGTTGCTGATGTAAATACCCACTCTGTTGAACTTTAATTAGCAGTATTTTGGGATTTATCCAACTGTAAACTAACTAGCTAAACATATTGTAAACAAAACATTAATGTTATTGCATGAGTTTCAAAGGACAATGGATAGGCCCAGTAATGTAGTAAACTCCGAGTCGAATCCAAGGACCCTATCATCCAAGTCCAGGGCCTTTAATTATGATCGAGTCACGAGTGCCTTCCAGTGAGAATAATTGTTGGAAATGCTTATTTTAGACGTCTTTTCCAGACATCGAAATAGGTAAAATGTTGGTTCTGAATTAAAGTTGAAAATACATCATTTACGGACGATGAAAATACATTTTCTAACGCTTTTAAAACACTGAAGCCAAACATGGAAACGATGGATACAACTTCCTCTGTGCTATTGCATTATCATAATTCATATGCGCGCCACTAGAAATCCCATCATTGGCATGTTTCTGTTAGCTGATACGTCATGACAAAATACATCATATTACTGTCCTGCTAATGTGCTTGGACCTTGTAGGCTAAACTGCCGAGAAAACCCACATAACTGATCCAAATGGTTGCCCAATCAGGCAGGCTAGATGCAGTTATTTCGAAATGAATATGCATTGAAAACGCCAGGCTTTTGAGCGGTTATTCAAATGCAATAGGCTATTCACTGCAGTTTACAGCCTAGACTAGAGTTTTGTACTCACTAGAAAACAATCATAACATTCTTAATTACATGTTGTTGCCTAGGTAGGATAAATATATTGTCTCTAAAAAACAGAAACAATAGGGTAGCTTTCCGAGCTGCATAACCGGCGACTGGGAGGGTGCGCACTCAGCACAACCTATGATTTCGTTATGATACTTTAAAAAAAATTCGCTGTTAAATTGATTGGATGTATTCACTGAGCTTATGAGTTATGGGCTACTATGCATACACTTCTAATTTAGGCAATATATATATTTATTTTTTAGTCATTTAGCAGACACTCTTATCCAGAGCGACTTACAGTTAGTGAGTGCATACATTATTATTATTTATTTTTTCATACTGGCCCCCCGTGGGAATTGAACCCACAACCCTGGCGTTGCAAACGCCATGCTCTACCAACTGAGCTACATCCCTGCCGGCCATTCCCTCCCCTACCCTGGACGACGCTGTGCCAATAGTGCGCTGCCCCATGGGTCTCCCGGCCGGCTACGACAGAGCCTGGATTCGAACCAGGATCTCTAGTGGCACAGCTACTCATGGGGCAGCGCACTCAGGCTAGACCACTGCGCCACTCAGGCTATAGGCTACATCTCGAGCCCCTCTGTCTTTATTGTTTTTCTTGCCCAATTACGCATCTGGCCTCGCTGCTGCCACAGCTATTCCTTTTAAAATCTTGTGGTATCCTAGGAAAATCCAGACTTCAAAAGCTTGTTGGACACTTTTTAAAAATTATTTTCTTTAGCCAACTAATAGGATATTAGAGGAGAGATGCAAGCTTGCTCTTGCTTTCTGAATGTAAAATAGGCTACAGCATTAATGAGCGGGGAGCTGGAAAGGAGAAGCCCCATATTTTACTATAGTAGGCCTATCTTAACACCAGGCTACATCCTGACAAAATAGGCCTACACCATGTGAGTGGCCTGCTAATGTACCTTTTTGGACCTTCTAAACAGTCGAGAATAGACCAGTGGAGGATGCTGAGGGGAGGAAGGCTCATAATAATGGCTGGAATAGAGTCAATGGAATGGTATCAAACATATGTGGTTGATACCATTCCATTGACTCCATTCCAGCCATTACTATGAGCATTCCTCCACTCAGCAGCCTCCACTGGAATAGACCCACACTGATCCAAATGGTTGCATAATCAAGTCTAGGCTGTTGGCCTATGCAGTTATTTCGGCATGAAACAAAACACTAGGTCTAAGTGAGCAGTTATTATAATAATAATAATAATAAAGTTATTCAAATTAGCCTACATATATATATATATATATATATATATATATATATATATTTAAACATTTTAGTCATTTCTTATCCAGAGCGACTTACAGTAGTGAGTGCATACATTTTCATACTTTTTCGTACATCATTGCAGTTTACAGCCTATGGACAATAATTGTTATTCACTTTAATAAATTCCTCATTGCACTGTTGTTGTTGTAGCCCAGGTATAATAATTTCCTTATCTAAAAACGTAGGCCTAGGCCTAATCAATAGTGGAGCTGCATGCCCGGGGACCACAGAGCGCAACCTGGAGGAACGCACTACAGATCTGCCATTTCATAATCTGTTAACTTATTTTTCTTGCACTTTGTTAGGTAAATATTTAGCCTATAGCCCTAATATTTAGCTAATAAATGGCCTAATATCTAGCTAATATTTATCTTCTTACTTCAGCTATACATCACTAGCCTCTCTCTTCCAGCTGTTCCCATGCACAACAGGCTATAGGCTACACAAGCCTCTCCGCTATAGGCCATTCCTCTTCTCGTGAAATCCCAGGAAAAGCTATAGGTCTAGGCTACAAAAGCTATAGGACATTTATTTTGGTACTTATTTTATACTAGACCTAATAGCCTATTCGGGGAAAGAAGCAGACTTGCTCTTCTTAATTGCTTAATGTAAAACAGGCCTACAGCATAGAAAAATGCATATCTGGGAAAGTTGAGGAGAGAAAGTACATTGGTGTGATAACTTTTGGCCGGTTATGATAACATTGTTGCACTGATGCATTGCAAATAGTTGCACAAGACATAGTCTAGATGAGCACAGTGAAAAAGAAGACCCAAAGGAATTGACAACCATTAGAAAAATGGAAGTCTCTTGCAAACCACAATTACATGCTGTAAAAGATGCACAGGTGTTTGTTGTTGAATTGCTACATTTAAATACAAGTTACTATATTATTTTTCATTAGGCCTACATGAACATTGAAGTATTATTTTCAGTTGTTACTATGACAATGAACACACCCTGAAAGCATAGAATGGTCTGAACCAGTATTTGTGCGTTAGAGACCTCATGAATGGTCTTGTGTTAGCACCTTATTAATAGTAAACGTGGAGTAGGGTGCCTTGATCAGTTGATTGACAGGTGTAGGACTGTAAAACAGTAAACTTTCCTCTAGTGTGGATGCTCACCAACGTTTTACAGTTATGTTGCCTATACACTACTGGTCAAAAGTTTTAGAACACCTACTCAATCAAGGGTTTTTCTTTATTTTGTTGTAGAATAATAGTGAAGACATCAAAACTATGAAATAACACATGGAATCATGTAGTTACCAAAAAAGTGTTAAACAAGTCTAAATACATTTTATATTTGAGATTCTTCAAATAGCCACCCTTTGCCTTGATGACAGCTTTGCACACTCTTGGCATTTTCTCAACCAGCTTCACCTGGAATGCTTTTCCAACAGTCTTGAAGGAGTTCGCACATATGCTGAGCACTTGTTGGCTGCTTTTCCTTCACTCTGCGGTCCGACTCATCCCAAACCATCTCAATTTGGTTGAGGTTGGGGGATTGTGGAGGCCAGGTCATCTGATGCAGCACTCCATCACTCTCCTTCTTGGTAAAATAGCCCTTACACAGCCTGGAGGTGTGTTGGGTCATTGTCCTGTTGAAAAACAAAAATGATAGTCCCACTAAGCCCATACCAGATGGGATGGCGTAGCGCTGCAGAATGCTGTGGTAGCCTTGCTGGATAAGTGTGCCTTGAATTCTAAATAAATCACAGGCAAAGCACCCCCACACCACAACACCTCCTCCTCCATGCTCTACGGTGGGAAATACACATGCGGAGATCATCTGTTCACCCACACCACGTCTCACAAAGACACGGCGGTTGGAACCAAAAATCTCAAATTTGGACTCCAGACAAAAGGACTAATTTCCACCGGGCCTAATGCCGATTGCTCGTGTGTCTTGGCCCAATCAAGTCTCTTCTTCTTATTGGTGTTCTTTAGTAGTGGTTTCTTTGCAGCAATTCGACCATGAAGGCCTGATTCACACAGTCTCCTCTGAACAGTTGATGTTGAGATGTGTCTGTTACTTGAACTCTGTGAAGCATTTATTTGGGCTGCAATTTCTGAGGCTGGTAAATCTAATTAACTTATCCTCTGCAGCAGAGTTAACTCTGGGTCTTCCTTTCCTGTGGCAGTCCTCATGAGAGCCAGTTTCATCATAGCGCTTGATGGTTTTTGCGACTCCACTTGAAGAAACTTTCAAAGTTCTTGAAATGTTCCATATTGACTGACCTTCATGTCTTAAAGTAGTGATGGACTGTCGTTTCTCTTTGCTTATTTGAGCTGTTCTTGTCATAATATGGACTTGTTCTTTTACCAAATACCCCCCCCCGACCTTGTCACAACATAACTGATTGGCTCAAACGCATTAAGAAGGAAATAAATTCTACAAATTAACTTTTAAGAAGGCACACCTGTTAATTGGAATGCATTCCAGGTGACTACCTCATGAAGTTGGTTGAGATAATGCCAAGAGTGTGCAAAGCTGTCATCAAGGCAAAGGGTGGCTATTTGAAGAATCTCAAATATAAAATATATTTTGATTTGTTTAACACCTTTTTGGTTACTACATGATTCCATATGTGTTATTTCATAGTTTTGATGTCGTCACTATAATTCTACAATGTAGAAAATAGTAAAAATAAAGAAAAACCCTTGAATGAGTAGGTGTTCTAAAACTTTTGACCGGTAGTGTAGTTAGTTTATCGTTATAATTATTGGCTTGGTGGATGGCCCGGGCCTTAACTCTGACACAACACAACTAACATTATTATCACAACAGAACTAGCCTACTTGTAAGTCTAGCTAACATTAGCGAACTTGAATGAAATAAAATGACACTTTTACTTGACTTTAATACTCTATAAATTGGCTCTTTCAAATAATTTACCCTGGCAAGTTAAGCGGAAGTCGAATTCATCACTTCCTTTGTTTGGCCGTGCCCATAGCAACGTTAGAAAATGAGGTGGATACATGTCAATGAAGAAAGCATTATGTCACATAAAATTTAAATAAATCCAGTTAAAATAGGAAAACTGACCAGACTGAAGATTGCGGTATGGAATATTTATTATTCCTCCCATCTGTCACATGCACGTATGTTAGCTTTTTCAAAAGCTTTAAAACTGGCAGCGATGATGTTCAAAGTAGTCCAACCTACAGAATAAACCAACAGACCACTTCAACTACAATAGCATTCTTAGTAACGGTTACATACATATATTTTTTATTGCTATGACTGTGATATGTTGTTTATCTACCTTAGTTTAATTCACTGACTGTAAGTTGTTCTGGATAAGAGTGTCTGCTGAATGACCAAAATGTAAATAAATACATAAAAAACTAAGCAAAGCCTACTGGGTATTTTGCTAATGAGCTCCGCCCCAAACAAGTACAAATTTGGTCGGTCCGGATCAGACCAAATCTGAACGAATCATAGATGTCTAGGCTATGTTTCACACGTTTCAACAGCCCAGTAGAGTACAGAAGAGTACAGTAAAGTAGAGTTTAATTCAGTAGAGTACATTGTACTCTGTGCTCTACTGTACTATACTTTTCTTTACTGTAATGTACTGTACTCTGCTGTACTGTGCTCTACAGTGCTGTCAAAACTTGTGAAACATAGATGTCTATGATTGGTTCAGATTTAGACAGGCCAGTCCGTGGATGTTGAAATCAAGGCCGGGACCCAAAAAAGAAATCCAGAAGACATCGGCGTCAGTCAATGCTTACTGGGTTGTTAGTGCTCAAAGATACATTTTGTAACATAGAAAGCTCGATAACATTTACTGTCTTGCACATTGGTAAGGCTAGCAGCAAATAAAGTAGCTATCTGACATTCCTGTTGTAGCTAGCATGTTGAATAATGCAAGGGAGAGAGACTTTCTGACAACAATGTCCAAGTCCGAGTTGAGTCACGAGTCATGAAAATCGTGACTTGAGTCCAAGTCAAGTTCGAGTCCTGGACTCGAATACTACAACACTGGGTAGGCCTATGTTATTTACATAAAACATTTTCAAATATGTATTGATTGGGCCGAGTGGCGCAGCGGTCTAAGGCGCTGCATCGCAGTGCTTGAGGCGTCACTACAGACCCGGGTTTGATCCCGGGCTGTGTCGCAGCCGGCCGCAACCGGGAGACCCATGAGGCGGTGCACAATTTGCCCAGCGTCGTCCGGGTTAGGGGAGGGTTTGGCCGGCCGGGATGTCCTTGTCCCATCGCGCTCTAGCGACTCCTGTGGCGGGCCAGGTGAATGCATGCTGACACAGTCGCCAGTTGTACGGTGTTTCCTCCGACACATTGGTGCGGCTGGCTTCCGGGTTAAGCGAGCAGTGTGTCAAGACGCAGTGCGGCTTGGCAGGGTCGTGTTTCGGAGGAAGTGTAACCGGTGTGAAATGGCTAGCTAGTTAGCGGTGCTAGCTTCGAGGGTGACTGTTGTCGATGTGTGCAGAGGGTCCCTGGTTCGAGCCCAGGTAGGGGCGAGGAGAGGGACGGAAGCAACACTGTTACAGAAGCATGGCCCTTGACCTTCGCCTCTCCGTACGGGAGTTGCAGCGATGGGACAAGACTGTAACTACCAATTGGGGAGAAAAAATGGGTAAAAAGTAAATAAAAATATACATAAAATATGTATCACTTATTTATCCCTTTCCCCACTTTTTTTCTAGACCCCCAGCAGCTCACGCTCGCAGTCTCTGAAGAGGAGGTTCCCCCTGAACAGCAGCACTGTGAGCAGAAGTGGAGCCCCAGTCTGGAGCAGAACCCAGAGCCCACACAGATTAAAGATGAACAAGAGGAAATTGGGACAAATCAGGAGGAAGAACAGCTTGAAAAGCTAGAGTCTGATACCAACGACTCCATATTCACTGTCTGTGAGGAAAGAGACAGTAACCCACCTTACCCACCCCATCAAAAGGATTTCTCAAGCCAAGCTTCCGAGAGCAAAGAGGGGGATGTGTTATGCATCCGCATTCCTAAAGAGATCAAAACTGAGCCTGATGGAGAGGACTACACAGTATCAGAAGCAACCAGTGCCTCTCAGTCCCTATCAGAAGGATATCTAGGCTGTTCTGCAGCTCAGAGTGAAAACAGCGGAAGTGACAATGAGGTGGAGAGTGGGGGACAACCGTCAGGGTCAAAGCCACTGGAATCATCCAGAAAATGGGCAAAGAAAGAACTAAGCTTCCATACCATTGCTGGAGGCAGGGCAACCACAAATGCTTCTCCTTATTGTTGCAAGTTGTGTGGAAGTACATTTGTGTACATTGGTCCTTTAGTTAACCATGTGAAAAATGTACACACAAAGCATACGAAAATGTGTGGTGTGTGTGAAGAAGTCTTTGAGTCCATTGCAAGTCTGACAGATCACCTGCAAACCCACATAAAAGCAACACGTACTTGTAATGTTTGTGGCAAATGCTTCCCTAGTGATGCTAATCTGAGAACCCACATGGTGTCTCACACAGGGCAGAAACAGTATCAATGCAAAGAATGTGGGAAATGCTTCAAAACTAAGGGATACATGAAATTGCATATGAGGCTGCACACCGGGGAGAAACCATTTCAGTGCAAAGAATGTGGAGAAAGTTTCACTTGTAATGGATACTTGAAAGCACATATGAAGTTCCACACAGGGGAGAAATCATATCGGTGTAAGGACTGTGGGCAAGACTTCGATCAGAAGACACAACTGGAAACGCACATGTGGACTCACAGAGGTGAGAAACCACATGGTTGCAAGCAGTGTCCGAAAAGCTTCAAGCGTAAGGAAGAACTGACCAGACACACAGCGGTTCACACAGGAGAGAGACCTTTCAAGTGCACTGTGTGTGGACATTGCTTTGCCACCCCAGGCAACCTGACACAACACCTGACCACTCACTCTGGAGAGAAACCGTATCGTTGCAAATTCTGTGGCAGATGCTTTAGAAACAATCCGCTACTTAAAAGTCACCTGAGGAACCGTCACAAATTTCATGACAGTGCCTGATTCTCAGAAGATGACTTAAAGGACAAGTTTACTTTTTTATAACCAAATCTCTATTTTTGATGTAAATAGCATGTTATAAAAGGGTCCAGACACCTTTTTTGTGATTTTGCATGTTTTTGAGAAACTTACCACAATAAGCAAATCACTTCCTTGTCGTGTAGTATGGGGGCCCTGAAAAAACATGAACAATGGATCCAAAAACACCCAAATGCGTCCTTTTCGAAATGGCAATGCTCTCAGTATAGTGATGCAGGTCTTTAGATGTTGTACACATGAAATTGTGTCATTCCGAACTTTATCCGCAATGTTATATTCCCTTGCGCGAGCAGTTTCCCTTATCCAGCTGTTCCATTTTCTGTGTAGCCTGCTGCTACATAACTGCTAAAATAAAGGAAACACCAACATAAAGCGTCTTAATAGGGCGTTGGGCCAACACGAGCCGCCAGAACAGCTTCAATGCGCCTTGGCCAGGGACGGCCTGTTCAATAGGGCGATATGGGCGACGCACTGCCAAACGGGAAAAGGAAGGGATTTTTTTTCTAATCAATTATATCACGGCAACAGTAGTTATCAGTGTTGTAATCTATACGTCTGATCTGCCACAGTGCCACACTGCCACTAAATGTCGAATCAGGCTAAAGTCGTGCTTCAAATGGCTCCACCCCCTTTTGGGGCGATTTCAGTCAGATTGAAAATCGCCCAGAACTTCTGTCATAGACTCCCATGTAAAATCTATTTTTTTCAAATTTCAGAGCCTTCAATACAATCTCAATGGGTGTCTGTGGGCTTGCACTTACGCGCTTTCGTCATACGTTACGTAACCATGAACGTAACTGAGAAAAGAGTGGATTGTTTGAAAGAAGTTCCTTTTTGTCGTCGAACAAATGAAGATAAATTGGCAACGAAACAATTAGGACCTCCCAGACCAAATTTAATAATTCAACAGGTTTCTACTAAAGGCGGAAAGTCCTACACCCGAGGATTTTCCAAAAATTGGTACGAACGAAAAAAGACATTGCCACTCACTCAACTGGATGACGAGGGATACAGGCTAGCTGTCCGCCGCCACAACGATGAGGTTAGTGTTGATAATCACAAGTTTACTGGATGTGGATATGGTGTAATAAAGGCAGTTTATTCAGAGGTAAATATATCTGGAATCGCGTTCACGGACCCGTTCGTCAAACTCTTAGGGAGCTATAAATTAAGCCCCATTACTTACCATATCAGATAAGAGAAATTGCTGCAGCTACATATATTTTACATCCTGGCCCTACATAGTTCACTATTTGCATCACTTACCAAAATATTACATGTGGTCATATATGCTTGGAAAGTGGAGATGCCATAGAACCTCAAAAAAGTAAACATTGCTGGAGACACATTGCCGTTTTGGAGAAGACATCGCGTTTGCTAGCGAAGAGATTTGTTGTGGCAAATGAACTTGGGCTGGGAATTGCCAGGAACCTCACGATAAGATATATGCATCAGCATTGCGAGTCTCATGATTCTATACGTATTGCGATTCGATACTGTGATTTTATTGCGCACCATATGTCTGTTGCAGAGGGATCAGAAAGCCATGAGAACGAGTTTTGATCAGTCATGGAAATAAAAGTGCTGAAAACAAATTGGCTCCCAATGTGAAAAGATTGAGAACAAGCTATGAAGGAACAATAATGGTGTTTTGGTGCAGGTACAGCCAACTAGCGCTAAAATATTGCGATATTGTCAATACAGTATATCGTAAAGTATCACTATGTAACTCGATTTCTTTCACCCCAATCCCTCAAATTAATGGTAAATAACTGAATTGTTTGCCCCACATTTAGCTAAGATGATTAGCTAGCCAGCTAAAATGTTTTAGTTAGTTAGCAGTCGCATCTACAATAGTTTACTGTCAATAACATGTCTCCAAAAATGACGTGGTGTCTCCAATTGTGTTGACATTTTACAATTGCAATGCGCATCCATGAGTATCCACTTTCTGTAGCTCAGCTGGTAGAGCATGGTGCTTGTAACGCCAAGGTAGTGGGTTCGATCCCCGGGACCACCCATACACAAAAATGTATGCACGCATGACTGTAAGTCGCTTTGGATAAAAGCGTCTGCTGAATGGCATATTATTATTATTATTATTATTATTATCTGAAGAGAGCCCCGAAACATTGTGTGCAGACATTTTATGCAATAAATGAAGTAGGTTCAATCTAGTAGTTCTGATCTTCTGATTGGTCCTGATGAGTTGGGCGAGGTCCCCTGCAGGCTACTGTCACTGTTGCATTGGCTCTGAGTCGGGTTCTCTGTCTTCAAATGTTCAGCCTAAGAGAGGGGATTTTTGTGTGTGTGTGTGTGTGTGTGTGTGTTTAACAGTGATGATGTGTGTGTGTGTTTAACAGTGATGATGTGTGTGTGTGTGTGTTTGTGTGTGTGTGTGTCCTCAGAGCAAGAACTCGTGAGTTGGAAGAACTGAGAGGCCTATGGCGTGGGTGTTGTCCTTGGCCACCTGCTGACAAGGCTGACAAGATAGGACCCTTTTGTCCATTGTTATTGGATAGGAACAGAACTTATAACCAGCTCCTGACCTAAATAGATCTTAGCACAACATTTTACTCAACATATCATATTCCATATTCACTATAACAAATATATTTACTACGACATTAGCAAGAACCGCCACATCCTCAGCCGGCTAATCCAGTGTGTGAAGTTTTGCGGAGTGTTTGAGTTAGCTTTGCGAGGCAAAGATGAAACTGAGGGCTCCACCAACCCTGGTAAGCCAACACTTTTGAGATCAGTCAATAAATGCTTCTGGTATTGACTTATATGCTGCCCCTGTCTTCATGTTGTTGCTGGACATATCTTTTTTTAAATGTGTGTAGGTCACCTAAATCATCAGAAAAATTGCCCCTCCTGAGAATTTTTTCAGGAGCCGCCACTGGCCTTGGCATAGATTCTACAAGTGTCTGGAACTTCCTGTGTGGAAGCACCCCATGCTTTCAATATACTTTGTATCTCTCGTTTACTCAAGACTTTCCTTTATTTTGGCAGTTACATGTAGAATGGACGGAGAGATATTGCTGGAGTCGCAACAAAATGTTGCGGATATAGTTCGGAATGACACAATTTCATGTGTAAAACATCTAAAGACCTGCATCTCTATACTGAGAGCATTGCCATTTCTAAAAGGATGTATTTGGTTGTTTTTGGAGCCTTTTGTTCATGTTTTTTCAGGGCCCCTATACTACACAACGAGGACAAGGAAGTGATTTGCTGTTTAGGGTAAGTTTCTCAGAAACGTGAAATCACAAAAAAGGTGTCTGGACCCTTCTATAACATTCCATATACATCAAAAATAGAGATTTGTTCTAAAAAAGGAAAGTGCTCCTTTAAGTTTAAAATAGACACTGTCTTTTGGTTGGTGGCGCATTAGAACATACTGTACAATAGAATCTATAAATCAATGTAGTATATGCTCTCCCTCTCCTCTGTCAGGCTATGCCTTTGGTCAGAACTGTGAATACTAATCTGCTTTTTACTATTAAATAAAGGTATTCTATATATATTCACATGAAAGCACACAATTTTTTGTGAAGGATGATAACACATTGTAACTTACAAAACTGTCCCTTTACATTGTCTTTATTTAAATAATAAAAAAAAAAGGGTTCAGGGTGGTGTAAATTGTTTTATTTTGCATGTTATGAGGCTACAGAGTACAATGAACCTTCCTTTTATTGAGATACGTTGTACGGTTGTTGTAAAAAATGTTTTTTACAGTCCATTAGATAGGACTGCACAAAAACATTTAAAGGTAAACTCGGTGAAATGTTGCAATGAGCAGCACCGCAGATATTGGGGTGAGCGAAATGCACGGCTTCGCCTTCACACAATATCTGCGCATGTGATGGGTTTGCTTCACGCTTTTACAATGCTTTTACCATGGGACCAAAACAGCGGAGAAGTTGCACTTCAACGCTGTTAGTTGTTGCGGAAATTGACCTACCATGCTGCTGTTTACTTTCAGCATCTACATCAGGAATGGGCAACTCCAGTCCTTGGGAGCCTGATTAGTGTCACACTTTTGCCCCAGCCCCAGCTAACACACCTGACTCCAATAATCAACTAATCATGATCTTCAGGTTAGAATGCAATTAGTTTAATCAGCTGTGGGATGGGGAAAAAGTGTGACACCACTCCGGCCCCCAAGGACTGGAGTTGCCCATCCCTGATCTATGTCATATCGCTGTCTACCTTTAAAACGTACAAAATAAAATAAAAACAAATATATCACATCATTATTTTCACTTTTAGAAATGCATGTGTTTGATAATGAACTAAGATATATTGATTGCTGATAACTGCATACTTTATCATTTTTACTTTCATAATGAATTTAGTTTACTGGGCAGAACGAGAACGAGAACGAGAACGGATGACAACTCTTATTTTGAAGGATTGACAAAATCCTGAAGTAGCATTACATATGTCACGTGATAAGAGGATATTTAAGCTCCTGGCGCGAGAGGAAGGTGACTCGAGAAATAAAGAAGCAAAAACAACCTGATCCCACTTTCGGAAGTTGCCAAAACTGTAAGTTACATTATTATATGGTAGTATAAAATGTTTAATTTCACTCAAAGTTCAAATACGCTCAAGTCAGTAAGTGTATTACACGAACGATTGCGTATTTTTATTTTACTAATGAATGTTAGCAAGTACTGCTAGCTAACTCCAGCTAGCTAACGTTACTTGGTTTAGCCGGTTTGGTTTATGATTTTTATCATTTCTACTTTACTAACTAGCCAATTTGGTCCGCGTTAGTATCTTTGGAGCAAGACATTGATAATGTTAGTTAACTATCTAGACAGTTGTTATTACCTGAAACCTGGCCATACCAAAGATCCTGGTAACTTTCAGCTTTTGTCTGTGGCCATACCTTGCCAGCCATTTTTGGCGGCTTTTTTCTTCCCGCGAGATGGGAAGTCTGTTACACTGTAGATAACAATTATAGAACGCTATTCCAGTGTCGGCAAACATTCTTGGCTAAGTTACATTGTAACGCTTTACCTTATCATTCTCAAGTCACTTTTTCGAGTAGTAAATTGCCTTTAGGATTTACAGTGTACCTTTCTCACCAGGTCTTGTCAAGAAAATGTCCATTAGGAAAATGAAACCTGGGGATAAAGCCTCTGAGAACATAAAGGTAAGCAAATGATAAATGCCAATCCCCTGTCTAGTGTTGATATATCAAAGTGTTTAGTAGCAGACTACTGTACTGTCAAGTTAATGACTGAAATATTATGTGCAAGGAGGCCCACCATTACAATTCAGCAATTTAACTGAAGTGGTTTTAACAGGCCGTGAACCCACAGATCCTTCATGCACCTCCAGAATTGGACTCAAACATTTTGAAATTCGATGACTCGACCTCGCACTATATATTGTTAGGGTTAATGTTTGCATACTCACTAACTTGTAGTTGTCCATAGTGAATATTTTGAGACTAGTTCCCACAGTAATAATTTGGTTAAGAATGTCAGCGGGTAAGATAATGACCTGGGGCCAATTGCAGCCTGTGGGAATTGGAAGGCAATCACCCCATGCATGCAGTTGTGCTAGGAGCAGGGTGAGCCTGCCCCTTTCTCACGCCTGCCCCTTTCTCACGCCTGCCCCTTTCCCACGCCTGCCTGTGCAATCCAGTCAGATATCAGACCTGGGTACAAATACTATTGGAAGTCTTTCCAATACTTTGAGCGTTTGCTTTAGCCTGCCTGGAGTGCCAGGTAGACAGAGGGATTGGACTGTTTGGGCTCTTCTATTGGTTCCATTGCAACAGAAGTTCAAACACAGCATTTGAAATGATTTTAAATGCTATTTGAACCCAGGTCTGCCTTGATGTGAGATGCGCAGGGCTGTTCAGCCACTTCACTTATTTGCTATCCCAAAATGACAATCGCGACAGTGTAACCAGAGTAGAGTTTGTTGAATGGCACTATACCCAGGTCATTGCTCAGTGTGCTCACTGCTGAGGTCAGGGAGAGGGTTGTTTCCCACCAAAGTTGCACCTCAATGGTTTCTCACAGAGGGGTGTAACAAACTCCTGACTGGTTTTGTATGGAATCGCATGAGCACTGACTTTTCGTTGTTTACTTTAAAAAATGTAATTATTTAACTGTACTGGATTAAACTTTTTACGTTTGACTTCATGTTTTATTTCAGCACTTTTTTGGTGGATCCATTCAAGGCATGGGACCCACAAGGAAAACGCTGCAAGTCCTCCAGCAAGCTGCAGTCAATAAGAACCATGGCAGAGTAATGCCGGTATGTCGTGGGGACTTGTCACCCAAATCAGTTTATTTGGCTAACCATATTGTATTTTTTTTGGGGGGGGGATTTCCAATATTTTTTACGTTTTCCTCTAGCCCTATCACCCCTCCCCTAATTGGAGTAAACTAATGGACAACAATACTTAGACTTGTACTTCCAACATGAACATTTTACAGGCATGGGACATTTTACCTTAGTTATCCCTCTTTACCTTTAGTCCCACCCTTCAGCTACCCTCAACCCCTCCCATCAATCTCTGAAAACCGTCCAGTTTTGTTTTCTACTTGCCATATATTTTTCAACTAATGTTTTTCTCACAAGTTCTGAACCTTTCTAGTCTCAGTTTCTACAGGATTTTTACTAAGAGTATTATATTATTGATTATGGCTTTTCAAATTACCCAGCAGTGCTATTTGAAGAGTTAGTTTTGGGTGAATGTTGCGGCAGTTATTTTGGCCCATTCTTGAACCTGCGAACAAAAACAAGCTACATATGGGCAGTACAAAAACAAGTAGGGATGACCCAGACTAAAAAAAATCTTGTTAGACTGAAAGTCATGTTCTTTCGACCAATCAATTGCTCTAATTTTTCAACAGTGTATTTTTCCATGTAGACACATCCTGTGTTTTAATAAAATCAACTATATGCGTTGAGCTTGTCTGATGCTTTAAGCTTACGGTTTGATGCCTCAAGAGGGTGCCAGAGATCTAGGTGACCAGAACCTTAACATGACCCATCTATTCTCCAGCTGGCTTTCGCAGATTCTGCCTTTACTCTCCTGAAATTGCCGGTAGACTACAGTACGAGTCGGCAACCTTTCTCATGTGGAATGCCAATTTCTTACATTTTCTACCGCGCTGTGTGCCAGTTATGAAAATGTGCAAATGAAAACCATAAGTTTAATTTATAACGTCTTCAAATCTCAATCATTGTCATGTGGTTAATCAAAATTATATTTAAATGATACAAACCTAAAGTAAGTTAACTTCTATTGCCATTGTCAACTATGTAAAAATGGCCTACATAAAGCCAACAAACATTGCAGGTAGAAAATGTCCTATAAATCACATTGGCAACACATGGCCTGTCTGCAACGAACTTGAAACATTGTATTAACTTGGGTTCTGCCCGCAATGCACTTGCAACATTTAATAAAATATTCTGGGCCCTCAGAGTTTCCCACGCCAGTGAGCTTGGGGCAACTCAAATTTTCTGCTGATTGAGCTCCTGTTCCTCTTCTAGAATATTATTAGCTCAAAAGTATTGTGGAGCTCCTGCACCTAAAATATAAAAAGTACCATCACCCAAAATGAGTACCGGAACCTATTTCAGTCCAAGTCAAGCACTGATAAGAAGCATATTTAATGCAGTTTCCATTGGATTGGAAACATGTAGCATTGGTTGTGCACTCTGCAAACTGTGTCCACTCCAACAATGAGAACAGGAAGACTGTAATATTGAATACATTAAAAGAAATGACCATAACCAAACCAAACGTTGTAGATACATTTTTTTTTTATAGGAATTCATGGTAAATGTACTACTGGTGACATATGTAATGGGGAATTGAAATACACTAGGAATTTCAACTATGAATGTGCATAAATTGGTGGGGGAGAGCGCATTCTGGAGAGAAGTGCATCTGGGCGCATGGTCAATCTGACGTCTGCATTGGCCATGCAGCATTTACGGAGCAGAAGTCAGGGCAAGAATGGCCTCCGCAGAAGTCTGGGCATTCATACTACTTGTGCTTTGCAGAGCTGTTGTCAAGGAAGTGAGTGTGTTTATACACTATGTACTGTCCCCACCTACCGTCAACCAATCATGTCAATGCGGAGCCATACAGAGCCCTCCGCATTGTTACAACATTTGGGAGGCGCATGGCGACACAGTACAGCGCTCAATTTGACCTCTGGGGGCTCTGCAATTGCGTCACACCCTCCATATGGAGCCTCAGACCACATTTTCGAATCAAGCATAAATTGGCTTTTAGTCTAGGCCTCTGCAATCGATTTAGGTCACTGAGATTGGCGCAAATATGTGTGTTACTGCTCGACTAAAACCATCTCGGTCGGCCAACAGCCTAAAGACCAAACAATCGACCAGTCGACTAATTGGGGTCAGCCCTAAAAACAATTGATTTGTCTCTTTGCAGCAGAATCTGCGGTGCTGGGATGACCGTATCCCCATATACATTACATTCTATTGGTTGCCAGAATTTTGTATAATTTAAATAGAAAAACTAATTTTTGGATCAGGCCAACAACCGATGTGCTGATCAAGTAATTCTTTGTTGGGTATTTTTTTAGACGGGAAAGGTGGTTCACAAAAGAAAACAGTGGAACGCAGAACAAGTGAAGGGCTCAAAGAGGGTGAAGGCTGAAGTTGCTGTCAAATCTAAAAACACAGAGAATGGAGATCTACCTGATGGTGTTACCAAGGAGGCCTATGAACTAATGGTCAAAGGTATGTTTGTATTTAAATATTTACAAGCACTCTAACTGTTTGGCTGGCCATGATCCTAATACCATTTATCACATCAATGTTTCATTAAAATGGACTGGGTTTATTTTGTCAATGTACAATGTCATAATACTTTTAATCCCATATAATTAAATCTATATCCTTTTATTAATCTCTTCCTTTTGTCCAGTAGTTAAATTGAAATGGCCTACCCCCTCTGTTTCAGTAACCCCTCCCTCCTCTTACTGGAAAGAGGTAGCCGAGGAGAGACGTAAAGCGCTCTACAGCGTTCTACAGGAAAATGAGAAAGTGAGTTAATCACTGAAGAAAGCTGACTAACTTGTCCCTTTCCCACGCTTCAAAATGAGTCAAAATCCGGTAGTCTCTCTGGCAGCACTCCACCTGGCACAATGGGTGTTGGTCTGTTTCAGAGATGTGGCATTTTGCTCCCAGGTCGTTTGAATATAGTGGAATTATTTTAGTGCCATTGAGTTAAGCTGATAGTGGGGTCTGTGAAACTGATTTTTAGCTGATGGTGAAGCCTGAAACTTTGTCAAGTTCTCAAAACTGACTTTATCACCTTGTTTGAGCAGTTGCACAAAGACATTGATGCCAAGGATGAGCAGATAGCCCACCTGAAGACTGAGAATGATGAGCTTCAGGAGCTGGCCCAGCATGTACAACACATGGCTGACATGATAGAGGTGAGTCCTGGGAAAGTAGTGGGAAATTGATGGAACATAAGGGTATTTGTGGCTCTTTTGAAGTCTATGCTGGATGCTTTTTAAACATAAGGTAGCTTGTGACGTTCAACGCTCATGTTATCTCCTCTCAGAGGTTAACTGGAAAGAGTCCGGAAAGTCTAGATGACTTGCGAGAGATCACCCTTGGTGCCGACGAGAAGGCGGAAGATGAGTTGGAGGAGCTAGATGACTCTGATGACCTTGGTACCAGCAGTGATTTCACACCCAGGGCGGATGTCTTGGATGATGTCACAAAACAACAGGAAGATGACTCCTCAGGAGAGGATTGAGTGCCAGAACTTCAGTGCACGGGTGAAACTCAACTTTGGGAAATGTCTGTTATGGACTTACCATTCTGGCATTGATGCCTGTAGTTGATTTATATATTTTCTCTGCTTAACATCTCAAGAGATACTTGTGCCTTACTTGCATGATTTTTACTTTGGTCAACCACAACAGCTTATCATGCGGCTATGGAAAGGGAAGTTTCCCTGGTTGTTTTTAACTTTGCTGTTTTTAAATGTATTTGATCATTTACCAAACGTTGGCTTTCATTATAGTGCCGTTTTAGTGCACTCTGTGTACATAGGCTTCAGGAATGTTCTGTGAAATAAACACCTTTTATTTTATTTTTGTAACTTGCCTTTAATTTCTCAAACTTCCAAAAGAATAGTGTGACATCAGTTGCCAGTTGGCCTATTTTCTAAACCTGACTGCAAACGAAAAGGCATCAGAAATTAGTTTAAGAGCCATAGTTTTGCTCCGCAACCTGTCCTGCGCCTAGTGTTGTAACAACCTGTGGTGTCCAGAACCCTAGCATACAGAGCAGTTCCCTGGCGTAGTTCTTTGGCCAACCGTACCAGTCCTGTCCCTCCAGAGCCTCTAGGGTCAGCCTCAGGCTTTGTGACCCCACCAGGGTGCGTATAACTGGGATGTTGTTACAGCACAGGATGTTGAGCAAGTAGCAGCTCCACATTTTAGTCTTGGTGGACAGTGGGCAGGTCGTGTCCATCAGCTCCTGTAGGAGAAGATTGTGTACAGAATTGTCATAGACAGATTTTGTGTTAATTTTATGCCAAACATAAATTTTATGGGTTCAGTGCCTTGCTCAAGGCTACAATGGCAGGTGACCATCCAGAACCAGAGTTTCTAACTGCTCCTGCTGTCCCTACCTGCAGCTCTAACCTCTAGGCCCTTCAAACTCAACTCCACTGCAATGCCTGTTCCACTGCATTTAATTGTTCCACTCATCAGTGACTGCTTTAGAACTGGGACACCAGCTGGGTGCAATGAATTATCAACAGAACCAGCAGGCTCTGGAACTCATAGGGTAAGCGTTGAATACCCCTGCTCTAGGATACCTGCTGTCCCTACCTGTAGTGTGGTGTAGAGGCCCATTGAGTGGGCCTGCTTCTGGTTGGTCAGGTGGACGTAACAGACCCCAGACAGCCCCTCCAGCACAGAGATCCTCTGGTCATCTGACAGGCTGGGCTGCTTGAGGAAGTCTGCCATGAGGGGCATGTACTCTGCAGCACAGATTGCTGCTGCGTAGCCACCTGGCAAAATAGTTTAATACTTTTCAGAGGCAATGGTCCTCTTTCGGTTGCTTTGATTCTACTTTTTATGTAGCAAACATTGACACGATGGCTTTGCAATGTGCTTTGATTTCACAAGACACTGAATATAATCTTGGAGTTTATTTGAGCAGTGCAGTGGTGCGAAAGACATGCATTTGGCTGTCTTCATTTAATTAGCATACACTGAGACCAAAACAATCCATTGTTTATGTATGCCCAAACAGGTATAATTAGCCCAAAGGAGTTGTACCTCACCACGGCAATTGGATGTCGAAACGTTTAGCAGACGCTGTTATCCAGAGCGATTTACAGGAGCAATTAAGGTTAAAGGGTTTAACTCTCAACCCCAATTTCAGCCTCTGCCCAACCCCTTCAAATTAATTTTTAAAAATGCATTCCGGTGTGAAGTTGTGGGTTGGGTGGAATTGCTTATAAATGTTCATTTTGGGGGGTGGGTAAACGTAGTTGTACCTGATTCCAACACTTTCTCACTAAAGCATACTTACCAGAAGTCCACTGGCATGCTCTGATGATAAAATAATGTGCATCAAGAGCAGATACGGCTCTGGACAGTTAGCTCATAGTGGTAACGCGCCCGGACATCTATTGCCACTTGCTGTGTAAATTCAAATCCCCCATGGGCGCAAAAAAAATCCTCAACGTAGAGACTCTCATAAACTGCAGTATTGTGTTGGGAAAAGTGCAATCACCTTGAAAATGTAGGGGCTCAATTCAATCCAACCTGCATTGCAGTAGTTAGTTATTTTTCCAATGGTCAAAATTAACTCTCAGATTGATTTTGGGTACTGTATCAAAACCTACCAGGGCGACCCCTTCTGACAGGTATGCTTTCACTTTTCAGAATTACAAGTGTGAGTGTGTGGGCACAGGATGAATATTGTAAATAAGGATATGTGGGTTTAGAATTCTCAACCATTGAGCTACGAGTCACCTGTTTTACCGGACTACGCGACCAATCAGAAACTAAGCAAAAACATTACATTTGGTCATATGCGGAAATGTGCCTTACTGCCTTTTGAATTTGGTGTAATGTCAGTTTAGTCAAGCAGTTGGAGTCAAGGAAGCGTCTTGCAAAATATATTGCCACACCACTTAGAAAGACAATTGCCAAATAATAAAGGCGCTGTCACCTGCTTTTATAGTAGGCCTTGAAGGGAGAGTATTTCATACCGAACCCCTCCCTTGAGATGACATGGTGCCGCTACATCACAATATCAATGGTAGAGTTTAACCGCTGGGGGGGGGGGGGGGGGGGGGGTGATTAGATTTACTAATAAAATAATAAAAATATCACTTTTGCAACAAACTTCCAAAATGAATACCAGAATTGAGTTGTTTCACTATAACTAAAACTAAATTTACCGAGAGGTCCGAGAGGAAGAGACTAAGCGAGAGGATTGACTGGGCCCAAAATCTGTTTTTCTCCTGCAAGTGGTGTTTTTTTCGCTCACCAAGCGAGGAGTTTTTGGATGGCGGTCATTGGGAGAGTCGAATTTGGATTTTTAAAAAAATGATATGGCTTATTTACTACGTAGGCTTATTTGATCAAATATAAGTTTCGTAATTCTTGAGTTGTTACTAGTAGGACACACGACATCCCTGCAACTTTGAGAGAGAAAAAACACTTCATATCGGACTTGTGCCTGGTCATCACTAGTTACCACAGCCACAAAGGCATAAACCCCGCCTATTTCTAAAATTTGTTTTTTTCAACAATAACTCCAATTTGGACTTTGGCTGTGGTAACTAGCAGAAACCGCTCTGCCTGTTCACACGTGTATCTACCCTTTTATTGGCTAGAATGGTCCCGCCTGATTTTGCCGCCTCAGACTGCATTCCATTTTTGAATACATTTATTTTTATTGTTAGAGCGGCAATACAATGGATAATCTCTGGTTAATTGCGTCGACAGATTTTTCACCAAGTTGGCTCGGGGATTCTAACCAGCGACCTTTCGGTTATTGGCCCAACGTTCTTAACCACTATGCGACCTGCCGCCAGAAAACATTACATAATACTGTTTACGCGGAGCGCCTGTAGAATGGTTATCCATTAGTGTTAAAACAATAGATTATGTTGTTAAAGTGAACTTTGTAGCCTCTGCTACAGTCAAGATAAGTGTTGATTAGATAGATACAGGGCTCTCCAACCCGATTCCTGGAGTGGTACCGTCCTGTAGGTTTTTAGCTCCAACCCTAATCTAGTGCACTTGATTATAATAATTAGTTAGTTGATCTGCTGAATCTGGTTAGTTACGACTGGGGTTGCGGTGAACCTACAGGAGGCTAGCTCTCCAGGAACAGAGTTGGAGAGCCCTGAGATGGACCTATTTAGTGATTGCAGGTTTCTTCTCTTTACTTCAATCAATATACACTGCTCAAAAAAATATCCAGGATGGCACATCAATGCGAGCTGTGGTAAGAAGGTTTGCTGTGTCTGTCAGCGTAGTGTCCAGAGCATGGAGGCGCTACCAGGAGACATGCCAGTACATCAGGAGACGTGGAGGAGGCCGTAGGAGGGCAACAACCCAGCAGCAGGACTGCTACCTCCGCCTTTGTGCAAGGAGGAGCAGGAGGAGCACTGACAGAGCCATGCAAAATGACCTCCAGCAGGCCACAAATGTGCATGTGTCTGCTCAAACAGTCAGAAACAGACTCCATGAGGGTGGTATGAGGGCCCGACGTCCACAGGTGGGGGTTGTGCTTACAGCCCAACACCGTGTAGGACGTTTTGCATTTGCCAGAGAACACCAAGATTGGCAAATTCACCACTGGCGCCCTGTGATTTTGTTGTCAGCACATTCAACTATGTAAAGAAAAAAGTATTTAATAAGATTATTTCATTCATTCAGATCTAGGATGTGTTATTTTAATGTTCCCTTTATTTTTATGAGCAGTGTAGTTTACTACATTACAAAGTGTTGAATAAGGTTGGAAGCATTAAGCACACCCGTTTCTTATTCTACACTATACCTGTGTATCCCAGTAGGCCAATGTTGTGGACCGCCAGTACTCTCTTCTCCAGAGGCAGCTCTGTGTTCTGAATGTCCTGGCCTGCTAGTCTAATCTTCTTATAGTGCAGGTTCTTATAGTCTTCATCAGACCCCTCATCATTGGGAAACAGGTAGTTTTTTATATGGTTGCTGTAAAATAATGCAATTCGCTGAATCATGGTGGCAGTTTTCCTTTTGTTCAGCTGAATTTGTGTGGATCGGAATGCTTGAGATGGAATACAAAATTCTCTAACCATTGTGATGCAACTACATTCTTAATACAAGTAGAATTACTTTAGAGATATCCATAGACACGGATACTGCTCTTTCTCTATGGAAATACCATACACACAAGCACAGGAATTTCTGCTGGTTTATGTAGGCTGATAATCCCGGTCTGAACTCTAAAAAGTTTTCTAACAAGAAAAAAGTTAAGTCAGCTAGAGTTAAGTTTCCCAACTCCAGTATTTGAGTACCCCCAACTGTTCACATTTTCATTGTAGCCCTGGACAAACATACTGATTCAACTCAAGGGCTTGAATCAGGTGTGCTTGTCCGGGGCTACAACAAAAATGTTTGCTGTTGGGGGTACTGGAGTTGGGAAACACTGAGCTAGAGGGTGAGTGGGTTATGTTCTTTCCCACATCCTCTTAACCTTCCAGCAGTGACATACTTGTCACCTCATCAGTCACCTCTCCTCTTTGTGTTTGTCCTTTTAGCCCTGTTTACACCTGGGGATAACATGTGTCCTGAGCTTGTTGACATTCTGATCTTGTCCACATTTTAGACTGGTGTACTGTAGACAATTTAAAATAACGGATTGTGTTCGGTGGGGTCCTTGGTATAAACAAAAATAAATCCAAAAACTTTGGCAGTTAGAAAAGGATGTTCATATGATCGGGAATATATACAAAACCTTGCAGAGAGCATATCCAACTGACAATCTCTTCGGAAAAAAATATAAACTATTGGAACCAAGACTTAAATAGAACTGATGTTGACACAAGATGGAGGGGAAAATTGGAGAACTAATGAAATTACAGTTAACAAATGTATGCTTAATCCAGTATTAACTAATGTATATAATTTATTATACAAAATTCACAAATTCTACAGCACAACGGCAGTCATGTCTCAAGTGTAAAACTAATAATGACTCAATAATCCATGCTTTCTGGGAATGCAATAAAGTCTGGAAGTTGTTGGCGGAGCTAGAAAGTTGGCTGTCAGAAGTATTACAATGTAAACTTACTTTATTCCGTCTGTCTGCATATTTCAAGATATGGCATATGGGGGTGTAGAGATACCCAATGGGCTGGACGATTCTCAACTAATCTTGAAAAAAGTTTATTTAAATATTTTAATAGCATGGGTGACCGAGAAAAACAAATTGGTACAATTTAAGAACAACTGGCAAACAATGTAGGCACTAGGGATGGGGGTGTGAGCATGCGGGCCTGGGCAGATGAGATGTAGTCATTGTTAGTGTTTGTAAGTTTTTTTTTTTTGGAGTGTAAATATATTTTTTTAAAGGACACCCCCAGAAAATGATTGTGGAAACATGCGAACACAGTGGACGGATACGAGACACATTTTAATACAATGTGTAGACGCGACATACCTTGAACAGCTAGTGATTGGATTATCTTGATCAGATCACGAAAACCACATGCAAGGTGGCCCTTTAAGAAAGGCATCGGCAACACTACAACCTGTGACCTTCTGATCCCTATCCCATGTATCTCCAATAAATGAAACAAATCGGCCAACTTATTTTCATAATTATGCAAAAATAAACTTTATTGCCACTTTCATTGAGCAGGGGAAATATTGTAAACCAAAAGTAGAAAATAATGTAATGCAGTCTACTGAAGCTATGTGACATGACCTTTCCGTGTGCTTTCTGTTCAAGTTCAAGGTTCACCATATGTAGATAATGCAAATCTTGTGTGGCTTCATGAAATATGATGAACATCAAATAACGTTTAATTATTTTACCTACGTGTTTAATCGGATGACTTGGATTTGAATAGAAGCAACATGTCAATTCACAACACTGGTCACTTTTAGTACAAAGAAAGCCGTGCCATTGTGGAGGAAAATAACAAGGATGTTAGATTAGTTCTTGAAGCAACAAGTATCATCATACCAAAATACTGTAATGCTATTCACATCATGGGAGAAACAAGAATTGTTGCTTAAAATATAGACCATGTTCAATGAACACAAGGCCAAACTTTGACATAGAAAAACAAAAAGCCATCTTCAATTTTTGTAACAACTTTCACACTTTTACAGCTTTAATATACAAAAGAATTGTTTTAATTATTTCACACATATTACCGCCTTAAATACAACTTTTGTATCGTTATGGCTTTTGGACAGTGTGCAGTTAGTTAGAACCCGATGTAATGTTACAAGATTGAGATGATAATTTAGATAACATTGATTAATATTGTTGTGCTTTTCAGGTGAGTCTGGGTATAGAGGCCAGGTTGCAGATATGTTCAGAATTCATTCTTACTAAAGATATATTTTTTTTAAATTCAGGCTTTACTTTGGTTATAAATGACATTTTCTAATATCTACTGTCTCATTTGGAGCATTTTGGGGCAAAGCTATATGATATTGGCAAATCCTCTCCAAATAATATCAGCCATCCATCCATCCTACTTAAAGTGAACATCCACTCAAACTGTCTTTTGGTATTTGTTTTCATTAGTCCACTGTTGATACAGTCCCAAAATATTTTTCATGTCGGCAATCAAGATTTAAGATTTTCAAGTGACAATTGTCACATCATCACGATGATGCGTTTGCATCATATGATGCAGGTTGTGCCTCTCTCGTGGCAAGTTACACTTTGCTTCTTGAAAATCTAATATCTTAAAAATATTTTGGGACTGTATCGACAGTGGACCAATGGAAAAAATACCAAAATATAGTTTGAGTGGATTTTTCCTTTAAGGTATAAACAAATTCCAAAAGAGCTAAATAAATCCAAATTTAGAGTTCAATTTCATGTAAGCAAGATCATTCCCAAAATGAATTTGAGGCCAATATTTCAAATATCAACCACAAGCAGAAAATATGGAACATAAATATACAGCTATTTTACTAGTATCTGCATTCTGCCCTCTTAGTCGAAAAAAGTAAATGCAAATTAAAGAATATTAGAATCCAAAATGTGACGTGTAAATAACAATAAATTAAGTCGAGAAACAAACCTGTTTTGTTGTCATGGCGAAGAAGCACCGAACTCAGTAGTATAGTTACAATAGGCATAAGAAGCTAGACGGACACTATAGCCTCGGCCCTTGCCGATCGAAGCGTCATCCCAACTTATACAAACCCCTTGGTTCTGCTCTGTACCATTATGTAGAAATTGCGTTCTCATTTCTCACTAACATTACCTAACACATTCTCCTAGACTGTATTAGTATCAATAGGATGAAAAGAGCAGTACATGTATTAATGGGTACATGCATGGAGGCCAACCTGCTTCCAAAGCAATAGATTCTGATCAATCTCCTCCAGTGGCTCAAACAACTGATCTCAAATCAGTTCTCAGCAAGCAGACATTCAATCAAACTCAATGCAGATCCCGGGCATGTGTTGGTAGAGAACTTAGAAGAGTTTGTTAAGCAGTCCAAGTATATGATTCTCTCTTCTCTTTGTGCATGTTGATGACGTGAGAATGTGAACATTGCTTACTAGCTCCTCCTGAGCAATCTGAATCTGTCTTCTGACCTCTCAATAGTCTTCCATGACACACTGACAGAAAGTGTTAAAACGGTCTGTAAAATCCCTGAAACTCAACGGTGCATACCATAAAAACAAACACCAACTCAATCCAGTTCAATGTGTCACATGATTACATTGAGTATAATGTTGTCTATTATATTTACATGCCTGCCACAGTGCAATTCGAAAAGCGCAAATAGCCGTTGACTAATGTGAACGTCACCTACTAAAACAAATAATTAATAGCAGTTATATAAAGCTATCATAACTGTGATACTGATAATAATAATAATGTCAAACACAACCATGATAATAATAATAGTTACAATAGTAAATATGCTCTGTCTGTTCAGTGAGAGATGGCTTAATAGTGGTCATCAGAGAGTGGACAGCTAGGATTTAGACCAGTCTGTTGAAGGATGAGACATGTGGCCCTTTGATGATTAGCTGGGCTCCTCTGCTTTGATGGGGCCCCTCCCCTAGCTGTTTCCATTCAAATGCATGTTCTGTCTGCAAGGCTCAAAGCACAGGCGGAGGGGGGGGGGGGGGTTATGTTAATTAGACCTGTGCTTTCAGAAGGCGGTGGTGACAGCATTCCCTCGCCGTGTCCCCAGTTGTACCAGCTCCCTGGGCACTGTGTCCAGCTGCTCATACGCCAGACGCCCCTCCTCTCCTGGGGTCCGGCAGCAGCAAGAGGAGGAGGAGTCACGTTAGACCTCAACCATTTGGAAAGTTTATTTAAGTTCACTAAAACAGACATGTTTTTTGTCAATCACTCACCCAAGGCGAGCAGGGTTTTTATGGCAACGTGGTGAAGCTCCTCATCTGCCGAGTCACACAGCGACACCACCGCTCGAATACTCTCCACCGCCTAACAGAGAGAGAAAAACAGGTTAACTTAGTAATGGGTATGTTGATGAAAGGAGACTGAGCCACTGAAGAAGTAAATAAGGAATGTATGTCACGCTCTTTCTTCAGGGAGACATCATAATGAATATGAATTACTTGATTCATAAATAAATCTTACTAAGACCAGGAACATACAGACCGGTTAAACTTCAGTTGAACTTCCATAGAAATAGAATATTGCTGTCAGATATACACTGACCTGTAAATAACTGAGAGCAGCGCAGGCAGACCTTTGGGTTTGAATTCTCCCCTCCGACAAAGCCTGTGTGTAGCAGTCTACCGCCTGTAAACGCACACACACACACACACACACACACAGAAAAACAAATGAACAAATTCAGTTAGTTCCCTGCCGTAACACACCTGTCCAGTAATCCTGGCTAATTTAGTGAGTACTTGACAGACAGTAGGGTTGATCCTTGACGCTCCCAGGCTAATATAAACACCATTTGACACACACTGACCTTTGACCTAAAGGGTGTGTGAGAGGCAGCAGCAGTGATGTAGGCAGCTGCAGCCTTGCTGAGCTGGGGGTCTTGGTGGGAGAGGAGGGAGGCCAGGGCCCTGAGGGTCTGCAGTTGGGGACACAGGCCGGTGTGTGACACCTCCTCTAGTTCCTTTAGACAACGTTCCGAGTCGCCGCCGCTCAGGCCCTCCGCAAACAGAGCTGAGGGATGGACGGCCAATCGAGTTTATTACAACATTAACTCACACAGGTACTTATAGCTACAAGCAAGTTTTGTTCAGTGGACCATGTAGCAAGTCTGTTAATGTTTGGACCCCCTCAGTCTTAATCAGATCATCAGACCTCTAACTTGGGTTACTGACTGGTTCTACATTCAACACTACATCGTCTTGCCAAACAGCAAAATGTTAGTTAAAGCAAAACTGAATGGCACCTAGACTATAAACTACTCAGCCTCCGAGCAATTTAGTATCCTAGGACCCCCAACAGATGAGAAAAGATGGGAGGCTAGTAACATGAATGTTGGTAGCGGTAGAAGGTGTGTTTGTCCTGAGCCTTACCCTCTCTGGCCACCTGCAGTAGGTGTTGCTCCATGTCCCCAACGCTGTGCTCTGAGACGTAGCTGTGGAACTGGAACACTGTGAGGACGTCCTGGGACAGGGCCGAGGGAGGAGGGCAGGCCAGATCACTCCTATCCACCATCTCACTCACCACCAGCCAGATCACTGGGGAGGACCGAGAGGGAAGAGAGAGACAGCCGTGTGAGATGTATACAGTGGCAGTACTGAGACAGCCGTGTGAGATGTATACAGTGACAGTCCTGAGACAGCCGTGTGAGATGTATACAGTGGCAGTACTGAGACAGCCGTGTGAGATGTATACAGTGACAGTCCTGAGACAGCCGTGTGAGATGTATACAGTGGCAGTACTGAGACAGCCGTGTGAGATGTATACAGTGACAGTCCTGAGACAGCCGTATGAGATGTACAGTGCATTCGGAAAGTATTCAGACCCCTTGACGTTTTCCACATTTTGTTACATTACAGCCTTATTCTAAAATAGATTAAATATATTTGTTTCCTTGTCAATCTACACACAATACCCTATAATGACAAAGCAAAAACTGTTTATCAATTTTTGCAAATTTATAAAAAATAAAAAAACTGAAATCACATTTACATAAGTATTCAGACCCTTTACTCAGTATTTTCTTCAAGCACCTTTGGCAGCGATTACAGCCTTGAGTATGACGCTATAAGCTTGGCACACCTGTATTTGGGGCGATTCTCCCATTCTTCTCTGCAGATCCTCTCAAGCTCTGTCAGGTTGGATGGGGAGCGTCGCTGCACAGCTATTTTCAGGTCTCTCCAGGGATGTTCGATCGGGTTCAAGTCCGGGCTCTGGCTGGGCCACTCAAGGACATTCAGAGAATTGTCCCGAAGCCACTCCTGCATTGTCTTGGCTGTTTGCTTAGGGTCGTTGTCCTGTTGGAAGGTGAACATTTTCCCAAGTCTGAGGTGCTGAGCGCTCTGGAGCAGGTTTTCATCAAGGATCTCTCTGTACTTTGCTCCGTTCATCTTTCCCTCGATCCTGACTAGTCTCCCAGTCCCTGCCACTGAAAGACATCCCCACAGCATGATGCTGCCACCATCATGCTTCACCGTAGGGATGGTGCCAGGTTTCCTCCAGATGTGACGCTTGGCATTCAGGCCAAAGAGTTCAATCTTGGTTTCATCAGACCAGAGAATCTTGTTTCTCATGGTCTGAGAGTCTTTAGGTGCCTTTTGGCAAACTCCAAGCGGGCTGTCATGTGCCTTTTACTGAGGAGTGGCTTGCGTCTGGCCACTCTACCATAAAGGCCTGATTGGTGGAGTGCTGCAGAGATGGTTGTCCTTCTGGAAGGTTCTCCCATCTCCACAGAGGAACTCCGGAGCTCTGTGACCATTGGGTTCTTGGTCACCTCCATGACCAAGGCACTTCTCCCCCGATTGCTCAGTTTGGCTGGGCTGCCAGCTCTAGGAAGAGTCTTGGTGGTTCCAAACTTCCATTTAAGAATGATGGAGGCCACTGTGTTCTTGGGGACCTTCAATGCTGCAGAAATTTTTTGGTACCCTTCCCCAGATCTGTACCTCGACACAATCCTGTCTCGGAGCTCTACGAACAATTCCTTCAACCTCATGGCTTGGTTTTTGCACTGACATGCACTGTCAACTGTGGGACCTTATATAGACATGTGTGTGCCTTTCCAAATCATGTCCAATCAATTGAATTTACCACAGGTGGACTCGAATCAAGTTGTAGAAACATCAAGGATGATCAATGGAAACAGGATGCACCTGAGCTCAATTTCGAGTCTCTGAATACTTATACAGTGGGGAAAAAAAGTATTTAGTCAGCCACCAAATGTGCAAGTTCTCCCACTTAAAAAGATGAGAGAGGCCTGTAATTTTCATCATAGGTACACGTCAACTATGACAGACAAAATGAGAAAAAAAAAATCCAGAAAATCACATTGTAGGATTTTTAATGAATTTATTGGCATATGATGGTGGAAAATAAGTATTTGGTCAATAACAAACGTTTCTCAATACTTTGTTATATACCTTTTGTTGGCAATGACACAGGTCAAACGTTTTCTGTAAGTCTTCACAAGGTTTTCACACACTGTTGCTGGTATTTTGGCCCATTCTTCCATGCAGATCTCCTCTAGAGCAGTGATGTTTTGGGGCTGTCGCTGGGCAACACAGACTTTCAACTCCCTCCAAAGATTTTCTATGGGGTTGAGATCTGGAGACTGGCTAGGCCACTCCAGGACCTTGAAATGCTTCTTACGAAGCCACTCCTTCGTTGCCCGGGCGGTGTGTTTGGGATCATTGTCATGCTGAAAGACCCAGCCACGTTTCATCTTCAATGCCCTTGCTGATGGAAGGAGGGTTTCACTCAAAATCTCACGATACATGGCCCCATTCATTCTTTCCTTTACACGGATCAGTCGTCCTGGTCCCTTTGCAGAAAAACAGCCCCAAAGCATGATGTTTCCAACCCCATGCTTCACAGTAGGTATGGTATTCTTTGGATGCAACTCAGCATTCTTTGTCCTCCAAACATAACGAGTTGAGTTTTTACCAAAAAGTTATATTTTGGTTTCATCTGACCATATGACATTCTCCCAATCCTCTTCTGGATCATCCAAATGCACTTCAGACGGGCCTGGACATGTACTGGCTTAAGCAGGGGGACACGTCTGGCACTGCAGGATTTGAGTCCCTGGTGGCGTAGTGTGTTACTGATGGTAGGCTTTGTTACTTTGGTCCCAGCTCTCTGCAGGTCATTCACTAGGTCCCCCCGTGTGGTTCTGGGATTTTTGCTCACCGTTCTTGTGATCATTTTGACCCCACGGGGTGAGATCTTGCGTGGAGCCCCAGATCGAGGGAGATTATCAGTGGTCTTGTATGTCTTCCATTTCCTAATAATTGCTCCCACAGTTGATTTCTTCAAACCAAGCTGCTTACCTATTGCAGATTCAGTCTTCCCAGCCTGGTGCAGGTCTACAATTTTGTTTTTGGTGTCCTTTGACAGCTCTTTGGTCTTGGCCATTGTGGAGTTTGGAGTGTGACTGTTTGAGGTTGTGGACAGGTGTCTTTTATACTGATAACAAGTTCAAACAGGTGCCATTAATACAGGTAACGAGTGGAGGACAGAGGAGCCTCTTAAAGAAGAAGTTACAGGTCTGTGAGAGCCAGAAATCTTGCTTGTTTGTAGGTGACCAAATACTTATTTTCCACCATAATTTGCAAATAAATTCATTAAAAATCCTACAATGTGATTTTCTGGATTTTTTTTTCTCAATTTGTCTGTCATAGTTGACGTGTACCTATGATGAAAATTACAGGCCTCTCTCATCTTTTTAAGTGGGAGAACTTGCACAATTGGTGGCTGACTAAATACTTTTTTTCCCCACTGTATACAGTGAGGGAAAAAAGTATTTGATCCCCTGCTGATTTTGTATGTTTGCCCACTGACAAAGACATGATCAGTCTGTAATTTTAATGGTAGGTTTATTTGAACAGTGAGAGACAGAATAACAAAACAAAAATCCAGAAAAATGCATGTCAAAAATTTTATAAATTGATTTGCATTTTAATGAGGGAAATAAGTATTTGACCCCTCTGCAAAACATGACTTAGTACTTGGTGGCAAAACCCTTGTTGGCAATCACAGAGGTCAGATGTTTCTTGTAGTTGGCCACCAGGTTTGCACACATCTCAGGAGGGATTTTGTCCCACTCCTCTTTGCAGATCTTCTCCAAGTCATTAAGGTTTCGAGGCTGATGTTTGGCAACTCGAACCTTCAGCTCCCTCCACAGATTTTCTATGGGATTATGGTCTGGAGACTGGCTAGGCCACTCCAGGACCTTCATGTGCTTCTTCTTGAGCCACTCCTTTGTTGCCTTGGCCGTGTGTTTTGGGTCATTGTCATGCTGAAATACCCATCCACGACCTATTTTCAATGCCCTGGCTGAGGGAAGGAGGTTCTCACCCAAGATTTGACGGTACATGGCCCCGTCCATCGTCCCTTTGATGCAGTGAAGTTGTCCTGTCCCCTTAGCAGAAAAACACCCCCAAAACATAATGTTTCCACCTCCGTGTTTGACGGTGGGGATGGTGTTCTTGGGGTCATAGGCAGCATTCCTCCTCCTCCAAACACGGCGAGTTGAGTTGATGCCAAAGAGCTCGATTTTGGTCTCATCTGACCACAACACTTTCACCCAGTTCTTCTCTGAATCATTCAGATGTTCATTGGCAAACTTCAGACGGGCCTGTATATTTGCTTTCTTGAGCAGGGGGACCTTGCGGGCGCTGCAGGATTTCAGTCCTTCACTCCGTAGTGTGTTACCAATTGTTTTCTTGGTGACTATGGTCCCAGCTGCCTTGAGATCATTGACAAGATCCTCCCGCTGATTCCTCATCGTTCTCATGATCATTGCAACTCCACGAGGTGAGATCTTGCATGGAGCCCCAGGCCGAGGTAGATTGACAGTTCTTTTGTGTTTCTTCCATTTGCGAATAATCGTACCAACTGTTGTCACCTTCTCACCAAGCTGCTTGGCGATGGTCTTGTAGCCCATTCCAGCCTTGTGTAGGTCTACAATCTTGTCCCTGACATCCCTGGAGAGCTCTTTGGTCTTGGCCATGGTGGAGAGTTTGGAATCTGATTGATTGATTGCTTCTGTGGACATGTGTATTTTATACAGGTAACAAGCTGAGATTAGGAGCACTCCCTTTAAGGAGCCAGAAATCTTTCTGATTGAGAGGGGGTCAAATACTTATTTTCCTCATTAAAATGCAAATCAATTTATAACATTTTTGACATATGTTTTTCTGGATTTTTGTTGTTGTTATTCTGTCTCTCACTGTTCAAATAAACCTACCATTAAAATTATAGACTGATCATTTCTTTGTCAGTGGGCAAACATACATAATCAGCAGGGGATCAAATACTTTTTTCCCTCACTGTAAATAAGGTATTTCTGTTTTTGAATTTCTAAAAACCTGTTTTTGCTTTGTCATTATGGGGTATTGTGTGTAGATTGATGAGGATTTTTATTTATTTAATCAATTTTAGAATAAGGCAGTAATGTAACAAAATGTGGAAAAAGTAATGGGGTCCAAATACTTTCTGAATGCACTGTATATAGTGACAGTACTGAGACAGCCGTGTGAGATGTATACAGTGACAGTACAACTGCACTACACACTATGGCAGGGTTCCCCAATTGGCGGTTTTATTTGGCCCCCAAGTTTTCTAAGCAACAACAAAGAAAACATTATTTAGTTGTTTTTTGAGCATTTTCATTGTTGGACATAAAAGACTGTAAAAACATCAGGAAATCAGCTCCAAGTGATTTTAATTTTGGAAATCAATTCCCAAGTATTCCCATGCATAATAGAGAGACGTGATAGTATAAAAATGTAAGCAAGGTTTGAAATGTTTATATTTTAGTCAAATATTATATCTGTTTGGGCTTCTTGCAGTCAATTTGCAGTCTACAAATTATTTGTAATTATGTTCTGGCCCCTCGACCATCTGCGCAAGAAAACAAAATCGGCCCATGGCTGAATCTAGTTGATGATCCCTGAACTATGGTGTAATACAATCAATTTACTCACATACACATCATACACTTTGTATATGTTGGACACACATAGCTACAAACACACACAGACAGAAATAGAGCCCTACCTGTTTCAGCTGTGGTGTGTGGGTGCTTCTCCTGCAGTGGGCTGGTGTAGCTGTGGTGCATGTGTTTAAGCACCCTGTCCAGCGTAGTATGGAACAGTCCTCCTGAACCACTACACTCCGACCACAGAGCCATCAGAGCAGGCCGCTCTGCCAGCCCTGGGAGCACTGAGAGAGAGGAGGGAGGACATAGAGATTCATTATGGTTGTACGGAAATGTGCTTTATGTCTAATGGCTCAGTTTTCCAAAGACCCAGTTCCTTGCCCCAGAGAGAGTACAGAGTAGCCTCCATTATATGAATATTTACCAAACAATGGTCTGTAAAGTAGCGAGAGAGACAACCCACCGTCAGCAGCTGAGGTGATGCTCCCGAGGCGTTCTGTGCTGATCTCTCCCAGTTCCTCTAACAGCTGAGTCTGAGCTGACAGCTTCTGGAGCTGGGCTCTACGCTGCCAAGGGTTCTCTCCACTGGACAGGAGCTGTCATTACACACAGAGATTGAGTTGGTGCACACACAGTCACACAGTGTAGTCAAACCATGTAGTCTAGTGTTAGTCTCCACACTTCAGTGCAGTCATGGACAATAAATGACAAGAGAACTTCCCGGCCACACTCTTCGATCAATGCTAATTTCATTTCACTACATCTGCGCAAGACTCTGTAATTAGTTAGCATGACAGAGTCTAGTTTGTTATCGATTGGAGAAAAATAAATAATTTGACATTGAAATGAGACCGCCTAATAGGAACTCAGTGGATTTGAAACATGCTTGTCTATAGCAATATCATAAGAAAAACAAAAACAATCAATTCTGTGTCATTTTCCAGAGTTCCTCTGTGAGGGCACTGGAGCATGTTCATTCACCTGGATGAGATGATCGCAGTACTGCAGGTGAATGACGATGGCCACATCCAGATTCTCATTGCCGGTGGTGAGAGGCAGGGGGCTGCCGGCCACACTGTTGCCCACCCCGGTGTCCTCCGTCAGGGCTTCACTCAGGTGGCCCCTGGCCTCTGGGTGCTGGCCTCCAGGCCTGTTAGACAGACAGGAGATACACACAGTCACCACCAGAGGGCAGCAGCAGAGTGTAGAAGTGGATTTTTTTATTTTTTACATTTACATTTTAGTCATTTAGCAGATGCTCTTATCCAGAGCGACTTACAGTTAGTGAGTGCATACATTTTTCATACAATCACTACTAAAACCATGAGAATATAACAGTATGTATATGTAAATCAGCATGATATGGGATGCTAGAGTTAAATGCATTATGCTTCCATTAAGTAATTTGTTCCATCGTAATATAGAGGCTATGGTACAGAATAGCATTTACTGGCTAACAAACATCTACTCATTTTCAGTATAGAGTAACACCCTACAATGTTTATTGAATTATACAAACGCTCTAGGACTGTGATCTGGACAGGAAGTGGGCACCAGAGGTGGACAGAAAGAGAGATAGGAGAGGGACATGGCCAGAGAGACACATAGGGCATGGCACAGACAAACAGACCAAGCCATGATACTGTTAGGCTGACAACAGCGATAACAATCATAATCACACCGCATAACATACACCATACATGACAGTCACAGTGACACAGACAGTCACAAGACAACAGTCTAACCCTAAAGAACCTACACCTGGCAGAGACTGTTAACCTGACTCCACTGGACAGAGGCACAGGGCTGGAGAGACAAACAGTAGGGGAAGAGAGACCGATGGGGGGGAGAGAAGGAGAGGGGGGGAGACCGATGGGGGGAGAGACCTATAGGGAGGGGAGAGACCTATAGGGAGGGGGGAGACCTATAGGGGGGAGAGGGGGAGAGAGACAGATATGGGGGGGGAGAAGGAGAGGGGGAGAGAGACAGATATGGGGGGGGGGGGGAGAAGGAGAGGGGGAGAGACAGATGAGGAGAAGGAGAGGGGAGAGAGATCTATAGAGGGGGGAGAAGGAGAAGGGGAGAGACAGATGGGGGGGGGGAGATGGGGGAGAGATAGGGGGAGAAGGAGAGGGGAGAGAGACAGCCTGGGTTAGTCACACACACGGATACGCACACCGGTTTACGCACACACAGGGATACACACACACACACACACACAGATACACAAAGGCCCCTTGGAATCTCATTGGCCGTGGAGAGATGTGGCGTGACAGTGGGGTTAGAGGTCAGACAGAAGGAGACAGGCAGGGTCACCACCACCATCTCCCAGGTAGGGACAGAGGGTGTAGTAGACTAGAGAGAGTACAGGGGAGGGGACTTTCCCCCCCTCCTCCCCTCCCTCTCGACTCACCCAATTCTCTCCACCTCCATGTCAAAGAACACAGAGCTGTGGAGAGCGTGGTCATCACCCGTATCATCATCGTCGAAGTCAGAGGTGTTAAGGAAGTCAAAGCTCTCCAGGGCACTCTCAACCGTCAGGCTGAGGCTGGACGACCTGCTCCTGTGGCCCGGGAGACGACACTGAGGGAGAGATGTCAGGAGATACTGAAACCCTGCTTGGAGGGCTAGCACTAAGGGAGACTAGGCGCTATAAGAATCTGGACGACTTACTACAGTAGCCCGGGAGACAGCACTGAGGGAAAGATGAGACCCTGAAATACTCAGCCCTAAAAAGCCCTGAAAAGCCCTGCCAGGGGTTGGCTAGACTAATACTAATGGAGGCCACCTGCTGCCATGGGGGGTTCTAATATATGTTAATATATGTCAATACCACAATAAAGCTCCAATCACCTTAACAGCATACATGAACTACCACTCTTAAAAACCAGATCATTTATCTTTATGAAAAATAAACAACAAATCTGATCCCAGGGCAAATCCCAAAAGGCACCTTGTACCCTATACATTGTCCAGCTTTCGGCCAAGGCCACATAAGGTAGTGCACTACATAGGGAACAGGGTGCTATTTGGAATGGCACAGGGGACATGGCAGCCAGGCCTCACCTTGAGCAGGTCCTCCAGGCGCATCACTTCCTGTTCCAGGTCCTGCAGCTCTCTACAGCGTTGTCCCAGTGATTCCAGCCTCAGCAGCAGGCTGTGCAGGGCCTCCTCCAGGCTGCTCTCCAGGAAGGCCCTGCTTCCCTCCCCGGCCCAGCTCAGAGCCACCACCTCGGGCAGAATGTCGGACGACGTCAGCCTCCTCACCAGCTGCCTGGTCAAGCTGCCTGGTTCTTCAGTGTCCAGTTCCACGGGCTTCAGCAGCTCCGAGCTGACAATAGAATATAATAGAATTCAATAGAATAGAATACATACAATACAATTTAATTGAGGGGAGATTAGTTTGGCCTCTGCGCAATAAACATCATAAAGACAAAACATCAATCACATATTACCTGTCGTCCTCATCTCCATCCCTGTCAGGCCCAGTGTGGTCCAGGAACACATCCTCAGGAGCCACAGCTGACAACTGACTCTCCGAGCAGAGAGAAGAGGAACCTACGTTACACTGGAACTCTGCCCTCTCCCACTCTGACTCCGCCTCCTCGCTAACCAGGCTAGCGCTCACACTACCGCCGCTGTCACCACTCTCCTCTTCCTCCTCACCCTCTTCCTCTTCCACTACGTCTGCGTGCACCCGAACCGTCTCTTCTACCCCTTTGTCTTCCCTCTGGGATATTTGGGGCCAGGGGTCGGTCTCAGGAGGCGTGACGGTGATTTCGGGGTTGGACTGGCCGGGGGCGAGGCTTGGGCTGGGGGAGGAGACTGAGGTATCGGAAAAGGTGAAGGAGAGGCGCTTGCACTCAGCGTTGCCACACACACCGTTCTCAAAGACGTCGTCAGGCAGGGTGGACTGGAGAGAGAGAGAGAGAAAGAGAGAGAGAGAGGGGAGAGAGAGGGGGAAAGAGAGAGAGGGTGGGGAAAGAGAGAGAGAGGGTGGGGCAAGAGAGAAAGAGAGAGAGAGGGTGGGGGAGGGGAGAGGGGAGGTCAGATGAGAGAAAAAGAGAGGGGGGGAGAGGAAGAGAGTCAGAGAGAGAAGAGAGAGGGTAGGAGAGAGAGAGAGTCAGATGAGAGAAGAGAGAGGGGGGGAGAGGGGAGAGAGTCAGATGAGAGGGTAGGGAGGAGAGAGGAGGGGAGGGTGGGGGAGAAGAGAGGGTGGGGAGAGAGAGAGAGAGTGATGAGAGGGAAAAGAGAGGGTAGGGGGAGAGAGAGAGAGTCAAAATGAGAGAAGAGAGAGGGTAGGGAGAGAGAGAGAGAGAGAGAGGGTGGGAGGAGAGAGAGGGGGGGGAGAGGAGGGGAGTTTAGATGAGGAAGAGAGAGGTAGGGAGAGAGAAGGTCGTGAGAGAGAGAGAGGGTAGGGAGAGAGAGAGAGTCAGATGAGAGAAGAGAGAGGGTAGGGAGAGAGAGAGAGTCAGATGAGAGAAGAGAGAGGGTGGGGAGAGAGAGAGAGTCAGATGAGAGAAGAGAGAGGGTAGGGAGAGAGAGAGAGTCCGCTAGAGAGAGAAGAGGGTAGGAGAGAGAGAGAGCCTGTAGGTGCTTCGCTAGTCTAGTGACATCACAACATCCTCCTCTTTCCCCCCTCCTACTGTTGTTTCAGTCTGGGACGTGAACACAGGCTGACACAAGCCACTCCATGCAAACAAATAAGCAGGTGCAGGCACAGCCACACAGGCAGGGGTAAACGGGGCTAGCACTACAGTAGCACACCTCACTCACATAGACCTCCAGGCTGGACTTGGGCCTGGGGCGGAGGGAGGCCAGGTCGCCAAAGGAGCGACTGCATCTCAGCTTCTCTAACAGGGAGTTCCTCAGGGCGTGGAGGAAGGAGAAGCGATGCTGGGTCGGGGAGGGGCGGGGGTGCAACTCCTTTACCACTCATAGGGAGCAGGGGGGTGGAGGGAGGATGAATGGGTGCAGAGGGGTGGAGGGGTGGTACGAGGGAGGGAGGGAGGATGGGGGGCAAGGAGGGTATGGCGGGTGGGTTAGGGTTAGTCAGACTTAGCCATTGCTTTGTTAGCATACACAGACACATATACATTGCATACAGTTTCACAGTTTAAAGCAATCCTGGGTAAGTGGGTTAGAGGGTTAGTGCAACGAGGGATCCTGTGAGCAGGAAGGTGCTAGTATGCAGAATGCTGTGCTATAAGACAACATTGGGACTAGAGCCATACACCCACTCCTCTCCCCTATCCCACCCCAGGGAGAGGAGGCTCTAACTGGGACTCACAAAGAAGGACTGGTCCTGGAAGGTGGGTGTCTCTGGCGTGCCCTGGCTGTAGACAGACACCCGTCTCTGCAGGGCGGTGGCCTTGCTCACGTTGCCTGAAGACAGGGTCAGGTCCTCCACATCGAACGGACTGCATGGGGGGAGGACAGAGAGACGGTTAGGAGGGTAAGAAGTCTACTATGGTAATGCTGCTGTAACACTGGAGCAGACACCCAGGTTCTCCAGAAGAGGGCAGTGTTACAGTATAACTTCATGTAGTCAACGTACACTGTTGTAACTAACCACCGTAGTATTTATTGTGTAGTTTATAATACTATGTCCTACAATATGTTTTGGTTTCACTTACTGTTTCCATGTTGTTCATGTTTTTCTGCTCCTTGCACCACACCAATAACTTTCTGTTAACTTCCTCTGTGAACTTCCTCTAATTCAACAGTCACTAACAAAACTTTAAAAACATGTCCATCCCTCAAAGAGACATTTAAGTCCACTTACAACCATGTGACCTCCAGATTGAGTTTGATTGTTCCCAGGTCGTTGACATCGACAGCCACCACCTGAGGCATGGCGGTGAACAGGTCCTTGGTCTCACAGATCACACTGCCCACTAGGATGTGAGTGGCTAGACCCTTCAGCTCGGTAACCTGATTGGACAAGAGACCGGAAGTTGGAGCTGATTGGACCAGAGAAAGGAAGTAAGATCACACTGCCCACCAGGATGTGAGTGGCTAGACCCGTTCAGCTCGTCAAGTGATTGGACCAGAGACAGGAAGTTAGAGGGTCATTCAGGTGGGTTAGTGCTGGGCTGGAACAAAAGCTTGCACATTCTGTGGTTCCCCAAGACCAGGACTGAACCCCACTTCCCTAGTCTGGCTGCTGTACTGTAGGCTGGGTTACTGTTCTCTAGGCTGGGTTACTGTTCTCTAGGATGGGATACTGTTCTCTAGGCTGGGATACTGTTCTCTAGGCTGGGATACTGTTCTCTAGGATGGGTTACTGTTCTCTAGGCTGGGTTACTGTTCTCTAGGATGGGATACTGTTCTCTAGGATGGGATACTGTTCTCTAGGCTGGGATACTGTTCTCTAGGCTAGGTTACTGTTCTCTAGGCTGGGTTACTGTTCTCTAGGCTGGGTTACTGTACTCTAGGCTGGGTTATTTTACTCTAGGATGGGATACTGTTCTCTAGGCTGGGATACTGTTCTCTAGGCTGGGATACTGTTCTCTAGTCTGGCCACTGTACTCTAGGATGGGTTACTGTACTCTAGGATGGGTTACTGTGCTCTAGGCTGGGATACTGTTCTCTAGGCTGGGATACTGTTCTCTAGGCTGGGATACTGTTCTCTAGGCTGGGATACTGTTCTCTAGGCTGGGATACTGTTCTCTAGGCTGGGTTACTGTACTCTAGGCTGGGATACTGTTCTCTAGGCTGGGTTACTGTTCTCTAGGATGGGTTACTGTTCTCTAGGCTGGGTTACTGTTCTCTAGTCTGGCCACTGTACTCTAGGCTGGGTTACTGTTCTCTAGGATGGGATACTGTTCTCTAGGCTGGGATACTGTTCTCTAGGCTGGGATACTGTACTCTAGGCTGGGATACTGTTCTCTAGGCTGGGATACTGTTCTCTAGGCTGGGATACTGTTCTCTAGGCTGGGATACTGTTCTCTAGGCTGGGTTACTGTTCTCTAGGCTGGGTTACTGTACTCTAGGCTGGGTTACTGTACTCTAGGCTGGGTTACTGTACTCTAGGCTGGGTTACTGTACTCTAGGCTGGGATACTGTTCTCTAGGCTGGGTTACTGTTCTCTAGGCTGGGTTACTTTTCTCTAGGCTGGGTTACTGTACTCTAGGCTGGGTTACTGTTCTCTAGGCTGGGTTACTGTTCTCTAGGCTGGGTTACTGTTCTCTAGGATGGGTTACTGTTCTCTAGGCTGGGTTACTGTTCTCTAGGCTGGGATACTGTTCTCTAGGATGGGTTACTGTTCTCTAGGCTGGGTTACTGTTCTCTAGGCTGGGTTACTGTACTTTAGGCTGGGTTACTGTACTCTAGGCTGGGTTACTGTACTCTAGGCTGGGATACTGTTCTCTAGGCTGGGATACTGTTCTCTAGGATGGGTTACTGTTCTCTAGGCTGGGTTACTGTTCTCTAGTCTGGCCACTGTACTCTAGGCTGGGTTACTGTTCTCTAGGCTGGGTTACTGTACTCTAGGCTGGGTTACTGTTCTCTAGGCTGGGTTACTGTACTCTAGGCTGGGTTACTGTACTCTAGGCTGGGATACTGTTCTCTAGGCTGGGATACTGTTCTCTAGGCTGGGATACTGTTCTCTAGGCTGGGTTACTGTACTCTAGGCTGGGATACTGTTCTCTAGGCTGGGTTACTGTACTCTAGGCTGGGATAATGTTCTCTAGGCTGGGTTACTGTTCTCTAGGATGGGTTACTGTTCTCTAGGCTGGGTTACTGTACTCTAGGCTGGGATACTGTTCTCTAGGCTGGGTTACTGTACTCTAGGCTGGGTTACTGTAAAGCACTTTGAAGAATGTTGACATAAATATTTATTTATAAATATAATTGATTTGTTGGTTGATTGATTGACTGACTGATTTTGCTGTACCTTGATGTTGATGAGGTCTGTGATGAGGGGCGTGAAGACCATCTCCTCTCCGTCCCAGCTCTGTCTGGAGTTCACCTCTATCTTCCCCTTCAGTTTCCATCGCTGACGCCCATACCGCATGAAGATCTGACGGAGGGAGGGAGGGAGGGAGGGAGAGGAGACAGAGAGGAGTGAGAGGTAGGGAGGGAAGAACATAGGGAGGGAGAGAGAGGAGACAGAGAGGAGGGAGAGGGAGGGAGGGAAGAACATAGGGAGGGAGAGAGAGGAGGGAGAGGGAGGGAGGGAGGGAGAGGGAGGGAGGGAGAGAGAGGAGACAGAGAGGAGTGGGAGGGAGGGAGGGAGAGAGAGGAGACAGAGAGGAGTGGGAGGGAGGGAGGGAGAGAGAGGAGACAGAGAGGAGTGGGAGGGAGGGAGGGAGGGAGGGAGGGAGGGAGGGAGGGAGGGAGGGAGGGAGGGAGGGAAAGAAACAAAGAGATGGAGGGAGGGCGGAGAGGGAGAAAGAGGGGTAGAGAGATAGAGGAGGAAGAGAGAGGGGGTGAGAGAAAGAGAGAGGTTAAAGATAGATGCAGGGCCAAGGAGTCAGAGATAAGCTAAGAAACAGTTGTTTTTATTTATTTATAAGTGCCGTTTTCGAGGCAGTCTGCAGATATGGAAAGATATAGTTGTCTATTTGTGATACAGAGAGGGCCTGTTAGGAATGATAAAGACAGAGAAAGAGAGAGTCAAGTCTTATATTCATTAATCTCACCTCATACTGGTCTCCTGAACAGAGACGAGCAAAGCCAGCAAGACCTGACGAGAGAGAGAGAGATAGAGAGGAGAGAGAAGAGGGGGGCAGAGAGAGAGGGGGTGGGTGGGTGAGTGAGGAAGAGAGGGGGGGAGGGGGGGGGGGAGAAAGAGTGAGACGGAGAGATAATTGGGCAGTGAAATTATTGCTTGTTTGTTTTCGGTCTACCCTAACTGGCCTCAGTCTTACCTTTCATTTTGATATGGAATTCCCCCAACAGGTTCTCCAGCTCCACCTCAAATGTGCTCATATTCTGGGGAGGAAAGGAGACTGATCAGCTCAAAAACAAACAACTGGAGAAAACTTTGACACCAGGCTGTGTTAGATCTCAGTGGGTGATCATATAGCACCGGTAAATAGGCTGATTTGTGTGTGGGTCCATACATACCTCTGTGTACTCCTTGTATCTGCGGTTGACCTCTAATATGCTCTCTCTGCTGGCCTTAGTGGAGGGAGAGGCAGAGAAGGCCTGCTTCATCTTACTGGCTCCCTCCCTCAGCTTCCGCTGGATACAGAACACCTCATACAACTCATCCACCTGCAGAGAACACAGCACACAGATGGTTACACACTATAATCCATACAGCACAGACAGGGTTAAAAGACTTAACATACAGCATGGACATGGTTACACACAAATATATCCAATAGACACGGCATACAGAATTACAATTGTTATAAAGCAAAAATAGGGTTAAGAGACTTCAAATGCATTAAGTATACACATCAAAGACAGTTACAGATTTATAACCTTTATAAAAGTATACATTTAAACTACACACTCTGCACTGATCATCCAATAACAGCCTGTGAAGTTTGTGAAGTTCCATACAACAAACAAAAGCCCTGGGCTTAAAACAAGCTTGTAAATCCTACCCATCCTCCCTCATACATAAAGATACTAAATATTCAGTCGGCAGATGACTGATTATTTCTAGAGAGCGGCGGTGTATATGTGAAGGACTCACTCCAGCCCTCTTCCGGGGGAGACAGATTACCATGTCTGACAGACTGATGAGCAAGCCCTGTCCAGTCTCAGACCCACACCCTTCATCATAGAACTGCACATTTAGATCATTCCCAACCCAGCAGCACAGCACACTGACCAACTTCCCCCTTCATATTAACTATGCTTGGCCCATGGACTGTAGAGAGAAAAGGGAGGGGGGATAGAGAACGGGGGAACAGTAAGACAGAGGCGAAGAGAGTGAGAGGCTTGTGGGAATGGAGCTGTGTAAACGGCGCCTGCAGTGTAGTGTGCCGTCCCATTCATGTTGTGTCACCCTGTGGAATACTCCCATGGTGGCAGAGTGGCAGACAGCGTTTAGCGATCGTTTGGGAGCCGACTAAGTTCATTCTGTACCGCCAGCGCTGTCTAATACCCACACACCCAGCAGAAAGACAGAGAGAAAGACACTGTGGGAGGAGAGGGAGACAGAGAGAGACAGAATAGAGAGAGAGAGATATCCATTTGCTTACTTATGCAAGCCAACACTCTCCATCCCTCACTCTGCCTGTTATGAGCCTGAGTGATGTTATAATGTGCTGACTTCCCTACTGTACTGAGACTGTCCTGAGACTGTGGAGACTATACTTTCTGGCAGGCATGTCTGTCTGTGGAGACTATACTGTCTGGCAGGCATGTCTGTCTGTGGAGACTATACTGTCTGGCAGGCATAAACAAAGACCTGGAACGGGCCAAATCAAAAGGAAATATTCAGACGTCGCCGTGGAGCTGTGAAATATTGATGCATCGCAGTCTTTAAGGTTCTCATTAGGGGAAAACAGAGGGGGGAAATGGGCCAATCGTATTCCCCAACGCTTTGACAATCATAGCAGCCACAGAAGTGGTGAAGGGGGAGGAGGATGATAAAGTAGATGAATTTAGTAGGAAAATAGCAAGAGCTGTCGGTTGTCAGGGAGGGGACTGGGACACTCCAATTCAAGGGTGGAACACTCCGTCTAGGAGGGGAGTTGAGGGGGTTGATGATGATGATATCAGGTTCTGTGGATCTTTGCTATGTTTGATACTAAGAGAGAGAAACCCTGCCCTGCCCCAGCTTCTCTCATAGCATCATCCACCCCCGCCCCAACCACAACAGCCCTGTACCCCAGGGTCGCCCTACTGCTACCCCAACCCCTCACCCTCACAACACCCTCACAACACCCTCACTCCCATCCACCCCCGCCCCAACCACAACAGCCCTGTACCCCAGGGTCGCCCTACTGCTACCCCAACCCCTCACCCTCACAACACCCTCACAACACCCTCACTCCCATCCACCTCCGCCCCAACCACAACAGCCCTGTACCCCAGGGTCGCCCTACCGCTACCGCAACCCCTCACAACACCCTCACTCCCATCCCGCCCCGCCCCTGGTATGTGTTGAGCTGTTTATTTGGGTGCAGCTGATCTGTGCAGCTGGTAAACATAAAGCTAAACCACAACTCTCTCTGATTGAAAAGAGCTGAGCCACAACCAATGAGAGAATTGAAAAAGACTACTAACAAGGATTAGAATGAATTCTAACAATGAAGACTCCATGTCACCTTACTCTCTATAACTATTTTTAACAAATGTATATAGCTCAAATATCTTAGAAGGATTGTACAGCAGGAGAGTGCAGTAGCCAGACCCTCTGTGCCAACGTTGCCCTATAGGATTCAGGCCACCAAGTTCAGAGTGGTATCTGAGGAATGGGGATTTGGGGGAGTGGGCAGAGACTGCCTGTCAGTGATTGACACCTGCTGGTGTCAGTCAGTCTAGGGTGGGATGCCTGCCCTGCTGATCGATGCTGCAGTCCAGGGGAGAAATCAGCATTAATACACTACCATTAGACTGCATGGTGGTCCACTGTAGCTCAGTTGGTAGAGCATGGCACTTACAACGCCAGGATAGTGGGTTCGATACCCGGGACCACCCATACTTAAAATGTATGCAAGCATGACTAAGTCACTTTGGATAAAAGCGTCAGCTAAATGTCATATATACTGAACTACTCATTTTCCAGACCACACTGAGTAAGGCTAACAGTCTCAACACTCCTATAAATAATTTTGGTTTGATATATCATATTTTCTCTGTGGTAAGAACTTCCTTAAAGTGTTATTAACGTAACAAAACACCCATCTAGAGATTGTGATAACTTATCACCATATTGCTGGGTCCAAAACAACAGTGTGTCACCCACCCACCACCCCAGGAAATGAAAGACAGGGTGACTGTGAAAACACACTGTGTTGAGCTGTTGGGCTATTGGGCTGTTGGGCTGTTGGGCTGTTGGGCTGTTGGGCTATAGGGCTGTTGGGCTATTGGGCTGTTGGGCTATAGGGCTGTTGGGCTGTTGGGCTGTTGGGCTATAGGGCTGGGAACAGAATGAGGAAACAACACATTCTGTGGGCTCGACTGCTCACACCCTTAGAGGGACACACACACACACACACTATGTAACAGCAGCTGAGGTAGGCATGAGCACACACACACACAGCTGGCAAGCGAGGGGTGAGCTTTATCCACGAGTGGCTTTAATCTTCAGTGGCTTTTGTCCTCTTAGGTTTAAAAAGGAACTTACTAAAAGTGGATTTAACCCACAAACAAACACCATCAAGAAAGAGGGGATCCAGAGGATGTCTTTAGCCCCAAAACATCCAAACATCATCAGGAAAGAGGGGACCCAGAGGATGTCTTTAGCCCCAAAACATCCAAACATCATCAGGAAAGAGGGGACCCAGAGGATGTCTTTAGCCCCAAAACATCCAAACATCATCAGGAAAGAGGGGACCCAGAGGATGTCTTTAGCCCCAAAACATCCAAACATCATCAGGAAAGAGGGGACCCAGAGGATGTCTTTAGCCCCAAAACATCATCAGGAAAGAGGGGACCCAGACGATGTCTTTAGCCCCAAAACATCGCAACCAAAATATTATTATAATGTCCATGCACACATATCTACCGCATCATTCATGGCCCGCTAAGAAAGGAGAGTCTCTAAGACTAAATGAAATCCTCTTACGATATGGCTCATCTGGGCTGTAGTGGATTTACCCTTCCCCTCTACATTACACCAGGGACTAGCAGGGCAGAGATTATACTACACAGACCTACAGCCTGGCCACATCAAACACATGTAGTACTCTCTGAGGGGAGGGGAGGGCCAATCACAGAACAGGAGGATAAGCCCAGATCCCAAACAGACAACAGGACAATCAGGACAAGATCTCTACTGCTGTTCAGTATAAGAGGGAACATAATTTCACCTAGATAATGTAGAATATACACTGAGTGTACAAAACATTAAAAAAACTAAACATCCATGACATAGACTATAGGGAGGAGGTCAGAGACCTGGCCATGTGGTGCCAGGATAACAACCTCTCCCTCAACGTGATCAAGACAAAGGAGATGATTGTGGACTACAGGAAAAAGAAGACCGAGCACGCCCCCATTCTCATCGACGGGGCTGTAGTGGAGCAGGTTGAGAGCTTCAAGTTCCTTGGTGTCCACATCACCAACAAACTATCATGGTCCAAACACACCAAGACAGTCGTGAAGAGGGCACGACAAAGCCTATTTCCCCTCAGGAGATTTGTAATGGGTCCTCAGATCCTCAAAAAGTTATATAGCTGCACCATCGAGAGCATCCTGACAGGTTGCATCACCTCCTGGCATGGCAACTGCTCGGCCTCCGAACCCAAGGCACTACAGAGAGTAGTGCGTACGGCCCAGTACAGCACTGGGGCCAAGCTTCCTGCCATCCAGGACCTCTATACCAGGCGGTGTCAGAGGAAGGCCCTAAAAATTGTCAGTAGGTGCCAGGTGCACCCGTTTGAGTGTGTCAAGAACTGCAGCACTGCTGGGTTTTTCACGCTCAACAGTTTCCCATGCGTATCAAGAATGGTCCACCACTCAAAGGACATCCAGCCAACTTGACAACTGTGGGAAGCACTGGAGTCAACATGGGCCAGCATCCCTGTGGAACGTTTTCGACACCTTGTAGAGTCCATGCCCGACAAATTGAGGCTGTTCTGAGGGCAAAAGGGGGTAACACTCAATATTAGGAAGGTGCTCCTAATGTTTTGTACACTCAGTGTACATATATACTGTATATAAACACTTTATATACAGTATAGTTAGCTCGGTAGTTAGCTCAAGCTGGCAAACGTTAGCATCCTCTTCACTGACTTTGTGGCTGTGTTATGTAGTGGGAACCCGTTAGCATGGCAGGCTCTGGTGCCTTCTTGCCGTGGGCTCAAAATGTGCTTGCTCTAATTGTGTAGTACCTCGTCTGTTCTCTTTTTTGTTTTGTCAACTTTTCTCTGTGAAATAGCTTTGGTAGCTAACTCATCCTGCACTCTTTTAAAAGTTCTACCATCGGATGGGCCCCAGCCATCAATCTGTAAGTCTCTGCTCTCTCTTCGCTTTTAATCTGCGGTTTTAGTTGTGTTAGTTGTGTTCTAGCTGGTCTGTAACCGTGATGGTTGGCTAGACTAATAACTAGTTGGCTCAGTAGCTACTGTTAGCTGGCTGGCTAAGATAAA